AAATAAAAATTCATGCAGATTTCTCAAATTTAAAAACAAATTCTTTTAATAAACTCTAATTCCATTTGAATTAAAGCTTAATAAATTAAGGAGTATCAGGACACAATTTTAGAAAAAGCCAACGAAAAATGTAGAAAGTATACGGACGAACAGGCAGACAAAAGTACAGACGGATAGACGGGCACTGGAGAAGGAATGTTGAGAAAACTCTCTTGAGTTTTAAGTTCTTGTGAGCATAAATTGATGTTCATTAAAAAGCTTTTTTACAAAAGAAAATGTAATTATATCCATTTTTAAAGTCAAATAAAACAATAATTGATTGTATGCTTAAAAAATGAATAAAGAACAGTTATTTTCTCAATTATATGAATAAATATGATTAAGAAATTAAGAAATTTTGTACTTATGAAAAATCTTAAGAATAGTAGCATATTTTCCTCGGTTGTTGTTTCAGGACTGGTCCAGAAAATGTAATTGGTTGAAGATTTCAGGGATTATATAAAAATGAACTATTTATATGACTTTATTAAAAGCATGGGGAATTAAAGAAAAACAATAGAAATTGTGTTTTTTCCTATTCTTTATTTATTGTCAAAATGGATACTTAGGGTATAAAGCTTTGCATATTTTCCAAGTGTCACCTTCTTCACCTTGTCTTTATTTCCGAAACTTGCACACAGGATAGTTTAAATAAAAGTTTGAAGAAAAATCGTTTTGAATTGTACATATGTTTAGGATGCAGTTGATTAAAGAACAAATAACTCCTATTGATGGAATTGAGAATGCTTTAGAGATGGACGCTGCTTGCAATGTTTCAAATGTACAATTAACTCTTAACAAGTTTATGTTTAAATTTGGCTCCTGTGCTAATTTTACTCCTGCATAAGGCAAATACATGTGTGAATAATGCATTTGTGATATAACTTTCAGTATCATACATGAAACAAAAATATCGGAAACAAGATGTGTTTGTGAAACACTGTGCGCCCGGCGGCATTAAAGTTGGAAAAAGCTATTTTTCGTATACATGTACGAGGGACGTTCAATAAATAATGTCATTAGCTCGATGACATACAACATAGTAGTCATATGACATAAAGCTTAACTTTCTCTCATTATTGAATCTTTAATGAATTTATAACAGCTTATGTGACCACTTTTCATCACATAGTTTTTTCGTGAGAAGCTAGGAAACAAGGGCTATTGGAGACACTGCATTATAAATGAATGGTAAAGAATCAGTAAACTAGAGTAAAATAAAAGCTATATTGAAGCTGCTGTTAAACTTGTTAAAAATCCCAAAGAAATATTCACTGAAATATGTGACATTTACAGCAACCGTTGCCTGTTTTATAGACAAAAGAGCAGGTGGATTTCAATGATAAAAAATTATATAATGGGCATCAAAAATCGTTACCCTCCTTGCCAACAAAAATTATAACAACTTATGTACTGTTTGCCAGATTTCAACAAATAATATTTGATGTTGTAAGATTGACTTTAAGACACATAGCAAATTTAATAGACATCATATCGGGAGTAGTTTACACTGTTTTTAAGAAACGTTTAACAGTAATTAAGCTTGGTACTCTAATGTCACCCTGTATTTTAAAAAATGAGTTAAAACGACAGCGTGTTCAAAAGTGTTAACAATTATTTTAAAATATCAGTAATTGTAGTAATCCACGTTTGTTTTATATTCAAACAGATAGTGGAACAGGAATCTATTGCTTAAAACCATTAAAACAAAATTTAACATAAGATGTACTTGATAAAAACGGCGAAGGTCTGTCAAGAGCAAAGATATGCAAGAGCACAAAGACAAATTAATATGCAATCTTCTTAAATATTAGTTGTATTGTTGTTCAAATTCGTATTCGGGGAGACAGTTTAATATCTGGAGATGTCTAGAAAGGAGTGTTTTTGCAAAGAAATCGAAAGGTTTATCAGATAAAGGACCCAGAATCATGAATCCACTACATTGAATTTCTTCATGACAGCGTTCAAACCCGCATGCCCTAAAGAGTAAAGGGGTTTTCGGGATAAACAGAAAGTTATTGATTTTTCACATTAACAATATTTGCCAGATCTTTGACCTTTTTACTAGTTTCTATTTCCAAACTTGACAAAACACCTTTTGGAAGGAAAAAACAAGTCCAAGAAATCATTGGATCTGCCATTTTCCAGTATACCAAGGGTCATACCCAAAAATGAGTTCTAAAAACAATCAGAAATTGTATAAAAAATGTTACGGACATGTGTTTGAATTAAAAGAGAATAATAAGTAAAATTATGAAGACTAGATCATTGAAAACCGTCGTTTGCTTCTTTCTGAGCACCAATGGCATTATTTATTGAACGCCCCTCGTATATCACAGTCAAGGCCACAAAGTCATTGACCTAGTTGCAATTTGAAAGAACTTAATTAGTGGAGTATGCATCCCAAATATGACGTCTCTATCTCTTATGGTTCAAAAGCTATGGCGTAAGTACTTGATATTTGATGTTGTTCAGGAAACTATGCCGTTTTTCTTCAGTAAAAGATCAATCTTATTATGTCATTGGTTTTGAACCGTGAGAGATAGAGACTTCATATGTTGTATGCATGCTTAATTCGGTCCAGTGCGCTTGTACATGCAGTTTTGTTTTGGAAATAGTAAAAGAAAATATTTCAAAAACACACTATTAGTAATAGTACGGTTTTTGGTTTGCAGTCAATGTACTCTTTTTATTGGTTGGCACTGTCGCTCTCTACACATTGCGGGAAATTGTCTCATTTTGTGAGCGGCCTTTCACGGACAGTGGGGGATTATTACTGCTCAAGTCCAAATAAATTCATCTGTCAGACAGACGTAGGGTAAGTTGCCCTTTTTTCATGTATTTTTTTTAATCTAGTAAAGAATTTTCAGTAAAGACTAAGTGTAAGCTACGGGTTATGGATGTCTACTTTCTCAGTCCTATTTTTTGTGATATATACTTGTATACAGTGGACATTTGTTTTGAATTACAGGTCTCTTGAGACGGATGTTGTTGGATTTTTTATTTTTTTTAATTAAAAGTAAATTTGATACTTTTATTCTGGTGAATGAAGAAAAAAAATTTAAAGCAGAGATCTTACTGCAATACCTTTGTTTTATTTCCAAGGCAAATAGTGAAAAGCTATAGATAATAAAATGCACATTACTAAGTCCTACACGAAAGAACGTAACTGTAAATACCCCGGTCGGAGGTTGAAGACGATCAAAATACTGTCTTGCTTTACCGTCCAAACACGAGCACTGTTCATAAGATACGGTATATACATGTACATGTAGTTCATAGAATTTAACATGTCAAAACTCAATTAAACGTTCAAATGCAATACTATATGGATAGGAAAAACTGGCAGTTTTTTTTCGACTTCCTTGAAAGCAAGAAAAGTCTCAAAGACTCAATAGAACTTTTAGAAAATTGAAAACCGATGTATTTTATCCGTCTACTTGTTTTAAATTCTAATGGAAGAGGAGAAAATGAAGCGGACCAAACCAGGATTCGAACCCTGGCCTAGTCCGCTGCATTTTCTCTTCTCCCATTACATTTGATGTCGTGACCAGGATTTGGAATTGACAGGTGAAAGACCTGTCAGGGATGAGTCTGGATTGCGGTCTTTGGAGGGCCACAAAGACCTTTTAGGAGGGAGGAATGTGGCGGTCAGCTAGGTTCGATCGCTGGTGGTTAGCTCATTTGGTAGAGTACTTGACCGGAGTTTCAAGGGGGGGGGGGGTCGGATCTTGGTCTGTTCCGCTGCATTTTCTCCTCCCCCTTACACTTTGAAGCAGAATATAACCTTTTCCGTCGTCAAATTTGGCTGATTTGTTTTATATCAATTGTCAAGCCTTTGTTTTTGTACTGAATTTGGCTACCATTTGTTTCTATCTATTTGAACAATACATATAGGGCTCACGGCGGGTGTGATTGGTCAAGAAGATGCTTACTCCTCCGGGAAACCAATCACATCCTTGGAGTTTTCCGGGGATTCGTATTTATGACCTGTTCACATATGTGTATTGTTTGAAGTTTGTTTTAGAATGGTCAGTGTTATCTTGACCTTTTTAATATTTCTTTTGTTTATAATTTATTTAAAATGACCGCTGCTTGTTATTTTCCTTTTTTTTCATCGAAATGAAAGTGCATTTAACACTAACAATATCCTTATCACAGTCATGCAATTTACAAAATACTGATTTTAAACAAGGAATCCCTATAACGTCAACTTATGTGTAAGTAGCTTACCTCGGTTTAAAAATTGATCGTACACAGAACATGCTCTTGAGTAGCGAATACGCTGGGTTCATAAACCATATTTCTATACAAATAAGGAAAGATGAAAATGGAAAACCTTTTCGTATATCATGCAATTTAATTGTTAGTTAGCCTATATCGTCTATAGTCAGTAAAACTTCCAAATACGAAATGGTTGTGACAGACTATGTGGTGTCTATTCAAGTTCACCGGGATATATCGAGTCAAACTATAAATGGAAGTTAACATTGTTATTAGATAAATCTGAATGTCGATTCAAAGGCCGCATCAAGTTTCTTCTCAAGTAGAAGTTTTGGTAAAAATAAAATTTCATAGAAATACAAAAACAAGTTGGCTTATATTTAAATAGTTTGCTTAATGTTTGATCTCCGAAGTCTATACATAATGAACTCCATCATTCTTATAATATCAAGGAATGGATGCTTGAATTAATTTAGAACAACCACGAAAAACCCAATTTCAGCACGATATACGTAATGGTTTTGAGAACAAGTTATTGTTTATTACAATGTTTATATTCCTGTTAAAGGAGTAATTAAAAAAAATTATAAGACAATATTTACAGAGATTAATAACAACAAGACTTTTTAAAGAATGTAGAATATTCATTTGAACAAACTCACACTGCAAACCATTAATGAACGAACAAAATGTCAATATCTGAGACCATGATTCTTATCTTATTTCGCATGTGTAATTCTCAAGAACAATGAAGGTTCTATGTATTATCATAGTTGTATTTGCTTTTATAATTGAATCCCTCGAAGGTAGGTTACAAATTTGTATTTCAAAAGTAATATTAGACGTTTACGTTTATTTTTGGTGTTCCTTTATCAAACCTTTTCGTTCGAATTTGTTCAAAGGTTGTCATGTGGGATGGATGCAGTTCCAGGAAAAATGTTATTTTTTCAGTCACACGACGGCTAGCTGGTTTGATGCAGGGGTAAGCAATAGATTTAGAAAGCCTAAATGAGTAATGATATCTAATGAGAACTTTGTTAATAGCATTGGACAATTTGCAATGCATTGTGTTTATTCCTTTGTAATAATTTATTTTTGCTAGATTATATGTAATCTGAATTAAGGTGTCTTCAACCTCTCATTTTTAAGGTTCAAAGTAGAAGTCAGTTCCACTAAAAATTCTTACAGTTTGATATGATTATGTTTTAAGACAAATGTAGATCGTTATTAAACTTTTAGTTGATTTACGACGTAAATGGAAATACATTATTATAACACCGATTATATCGATTTTAGCATCGCAAAATTTCCTTCTACGAAAAAATTAACAAGAGGAAAAAAGTACGGAAGTTCAAGTGTCAGATTTTTATTTCTTACTTAATCAAAAAGATGCTTCAGTTTCTGATTGACAATATCTGTGTTGTTTTTGAAGTCCAGGTCTTTCAACAATCTATTGGAATTCCCATGAGTACAATTGCGTCCCGTTATTAGCAGACCTATTTTTGTATTCATATGAAGCAGAATTTGTGCAAAATCGTATGCATGAAAAGAAGAAAACATTTGCTGTGGCCTTCAACTCGACATATATCGACGACGTATTGTCAATTAATAATTTCCATTCTGGTGTCGATGCGACATATCTCGGTGAGCTTGAAATAAAAGATACCACAGAGTCTGACACACCTGTTTCATATTTGTATATTTTACTTGAAAACGACGTTAATGGTAATCTAACAACCAAGCTCTATGACTTTAACTTTTCTATCGTCAACTTCCCTTACTTATGCAGGAATATGTACCTGCATCACCTGCATATGGAGTTTATGTATCTCTGTTGATTCGATACGCAAGAGCATGCTCTACGTATGAACAATTTGCTCACTCCTATAATGCACCTGATCCCACCTCTGATGTTTTAGAGGTCCGTGTTTGCTCTGCTCCTATTTGTATTTTTTCTTGGATATTTGATCTTGAATACTGTTTGTCATCTTTATATGTTTCATTATTAAAAATTTTGAAAATAAATTACGGAATGCTTGTTTAAATGAATGAAAAATTAGGTACAAATTATTGCTTATTATTTTGTTGAAGAAATAATTAATTAAACAAATATACTCCATGTATTTTTTCTAAATATATTCTTTATTTTAACTAATAATAAATGACATCTCTAATAAATGTTTGTCGTTTTCATTGGTTAGTGAGATAATGTGAGGTGGAAACACTTGAAAGGGATCTATATAATGCATGTTAATTGATCGACAATTTTCACAACTATAAATATATGAACTTGAACTTTATTCTCATAACTGACAAAACAGTAAAGAGAAGATATATACAGTACAATGAACATGAAATATTACTAATACATGCATGAAGAAAGGATAACAGAGTAATATCAACCAAGAGAGCTAACTCTCTCAATTATAATGTTTAACAATTTACAAATCTTGCATTCAAAGTGTCTTTTGATCTGAGAGAGTTACTTGAGTTTTTACTTTCATTAATAATTGTTTGTTGTTGCTCTCCGTGGTTTACCTACATCGGAACTTTATTGGAGCCTGGATCAGCCACGAATTTACCAGTTGGTGGAAAGAATCGTTTGCTATCTATGATAAGTTTGTCCACGATCATCACAGCCTTCTTCCCTTGTTGTTTCGCTTTTTTGTAGTGGGAATATAGAACTTTCCTGCGCTCGTTAATTTCCCTAGGAAATTGCTCGTTAACGCCAAATCCCTTTCCCTCTAGGCTTGATGGGGCGGCCTTTCTCACTATTTCTCTTTCTTTATGCAGCACGAACTTTGCGACGATTGGTCTGTGTTTATCCGGTAGTCTCTTCCCCATTCGGTGTACCCTGTGGAACTTCTGTGATATTCATTTCTGCACGTATGAACTCTTTCAGCAGGTTGGGACCAATCGCCCAAATGGGATATAATAGTTCGTTTGGGATATAATATCCCAAATGGGCTATAAATTTACAGTGCAAAAATTGAAAATTTTTATTTTGGTAATAAATATCATAAATCCGCATCAAAACACTTAAAATAGAATAACTTTTGGTAAGCAAGTTTTTCTGAAATCATACCGTTTGTTAGATTGATCCCCAAGAAGTTAAGGAACTTCCGAGGGATCAATCTCCTAAACAATGGGCATACAGGAAAACTTGTCAACCAAAAGTGATTCCTTTTTAAGTGTTGTGATGCGGATTTATGATATTTATAGCCAAAATAAAAAATTTCAATTTTTGCACTGTAAATCTATAGCCCATTTGGGATATTATATCCCAAACGAACTATTATATCCCATTTGGGCGATTGGTCCCAACCTGTTCAGTACTTCTTCTGTATTTTCCTCTTCAGTCTCCGGTATACCACTAAATACAAGGTTGTCTCTCATCGATCTGGTTTGTAGATCTAAGTGGCGTTCGTTCAAATCCTCGAATTTATTCCTCACCATTTCTAATTCATTCAAGATCATCTCATTTTCGTTCCTTATGTTACTAACAGATTTCTTCATTTCTTTGACTTCCCTCGTTTGATCATCATACTGTTTACTAATATGTGTCACACACTCTTCCATCCCGTTGACCTTGCCCTTCATTTCTTTTAACTCTGTGTTGACATTCCGTTCCAGTTCATTGAGTCTCCTTTCAATATGATCTAATTTGTTTAGTTTAGTAGATACTTGTTCTAATCGATTCGACGTGACTTTCAAAGTCTCAAGAATACAATGAAGCGCATTGAAGTGGTAAAATTTTCTGTTTGGATGGAACGTTTTGAGCTAACTTTAGACACGCCCATTTCTTTAAAAAGGAAAAATCGGTCAAATGATTCAATAGAATACCTGTTTAACAGGTATTTTATAAATATAATAGCCAATGAAATTGACGGTCTACATAAACACCGAGTAAGCACGTGTTCGAATGATACATGTGCTATGCTAACTCCAATAAACATGATAGAATCATAATTATGTACAAATTCGTTGCAATGCGTGTTTTACATAAGCGGGAACTCTATACATAGCTCTTTCTTATTTAAAAATCTTCATTTCAGTGTACCTCATGTTGCTTGTCGCGGAAAGTGTAGTATCCTAAAACATTACGACGAATATTCCTTTCTCGTTTCTAAGTTAAGTTAAGATGGGCGTGTCGTTATGTTATAATTGAGTTCAAAACATGACTCAAAACGTTTCGTCCAAACGGAAAATTTTACCACTTCAATGCGCTTCATTGTATCAACGTGCTGATATTGGTGTTGTGGGGGGTTTGGTACTGGTGGTATAGGGGATAAGTACCCAGCAAATTGACTCTGTGGTCCCGGGGGCCCATAGGGAACGAACTAATTTCCTTGAAAATTATTACCTTGACAGTTGTTTTGAAAGTTTGCAGTTGGTGTATAGTAGATGCAACTGCCGTTGGTGCACTAAGGCTGATACTACTATTACTGTTACTCAATTGACTCTCCATATCATGGATACTAGGAACATGCAATGATTGAGTACTACTCACATGGACTTTCTGTTTTCTTTCACCGCTCGTGTTTACTGCTTGATTTTTCCTTTTCCCTTTTCTAGGCATTTCCCAGTGCTATGTCTCAGATAGGTTTCCACACACATAACTACACATTTAAACAACAAATCCAGGTGATCTTATATACAAACCATGATGTATATTGTATTAAATTCGAGAAAATTTTCTCTACGATTTTTAAAGCTGCCTCCCTTCCTCACGCATGCGCACATGACTCTAAATGGATGTAAAACTGAATTCTGCTCAGCCGGTAATTAGTTAATGACTTTTGTAAAAAAAAAAAACTTTCCTTATTGACAACCAGACCAGAAGTCAATGACAATAAAATTTTATTATAAAACTAAAGGACTGGTTTTTCCTTTCAGGGGGCATGTGCACAATTCCATTCTAAGCTAGCTGAACCCAGAACCCAAACAGCCTCAAACTATCTGAAGAGCCACAGCCAGGCACTGAGTAACATTTCAAGCAATGATATGTTGTTAACTTTTTGTAAATGCTCTGTGGTTACCCGTTATTGAAAATAATACATATAATTTAATAATTGTGCTTGCAATTGCTTCAAATATTGCTGGCATTCTCCTGGTGCGAAAGATAGACACTCAAGCATGTCTTTCTAGTATGGTTTTATTTAATGTCCTTTTGTTATTCCTCATGTTTTTATCCAAAGTATTTCGTTTAAAATTGTACTTTCCGCAAGACTTACGCGAAGTGTAAATATTTGCAATCACCTTACGATCGGATTTGAAATAACTTCATTCAATTTTCAAAACCCCACACAGCTCTTCTGAATCACTAGTCGTTAGTATGTTACTGCATATAACATAGCTGTTGCGGACCTTGTAAAAAATAATTAGCTCCATTGTATCACTAGAATAGATTGATTGTATGTTGTTTAACGAAAATGAAGTAGAAATCATGTCTGACATAAGAATTGGCAAAAAATCAATATTTATACATGCATAAAGGTTTTTTTTTAACTGAACGGTATAAATTGAATGTGTTGAATGAGTCGATCGCTTATGGCGTTACTTTTAAATTATGTAGATCGCTTATGACTAAACATTCAGTTTATGGTCACATGACGAACGTGTTTTACAGAGATGTAAAAACGCCTTGTTCAAATAGTGTTATATAACGGAAAACATATGCAAATGTTAATATAGACGTCAACATATACCGGCAAAGGGCTTCAAATTTTGACCTTAACTTGTCACTTTCATTCAAAGAGAAGTGAGGGATCATTATCGTGTCAGCGTCTAAAACCTTGAAACGGATCCTCAAATTTAAGCTCTCATCCGACGGACCAGGTGCCGAGCGCATGGCATAGGAAAAGTTGCTACCTTTTTATATCGACTTAGAACAGTCGCAGACGAGATTCTAACTCAAGACTTTTCGAACACGGAGTGAGTGCTCTACCAACTGATCTACCGTGACGGTAAACTGTATAGGAGAATATTTGCCCGTTGTGAGATTGTCATCGATCAGAAGATAAATTTAAACGGCCCTATTTATTCTATTTTGAATACGATAAAATAGATATTTCTTTCTTATAGATAAAGAAAATGTTTTGAATTATTTAGAAAGTTATTCACAATTTTCCTTTTTAAAATTAACAAAAATATTGAAAAACCACAATGACTATGATTCAGATGATTTTTTTTTTACAAAGATGCTAATTTCTGGATTGGAATATCAGACATTATAGAGGAAAACATATGGGAGTATTCATCAACACAGGAGATCGTCAAGGAGACCGACTTTGGTCCCGGGGAACCCAATTCTCACACAGCACAAAACTGTGTGGCTCTGTGGAGAGATTTCCATGGCCAGTGGGCAGACCATACATGCTCTGCGCCTCTTCACTTTATATGTGAAGCTGATTTTCCGTAAGATATGAATATTTTATTTTATATAATTCTGTTTAATAATGTTGAGACTTACTATAGCATTTCTTGACTTCGAAAGAATAAAAAGTAACACGTACACTGTAATTATATTCTTCTCCCTTGAAATGGCATTCATTTTAATAATGGTCCTTGTATTTCTTTTCATTGAAGATCGGACCCAGGGAGTATAATTGGTTAAACTACCAATTTGTGACTGCCTTACCCGAAATACAACAAAAGAAACAAAGGAAATGGGTTATTTCTGTGTTTTATTACATATGCATTACTAAAAATACATAATAAATTCTTTCATGTCACATGGATTTGAAAAAAGTTGATGATTGATTTTTCTTTTGAAATTACCACATTACAACCGTTCAAAATCCTATCAGCATGTCATGAAATCATATGTTTTATGTCAAATCTATGAGTTTGTATATATATGATTAAAGAGGGTTGTCCAACAAGTTCGGGAAGAAAGACGTTTTTGTCCAAACGAATGGTTCTAGATAAACCTATTTAATACCAAAATATTTCTTTTTTGTTTGAATTTAAATTAATGTAAAATTTGGAGTCTTACATAATCGCAGATAGTGCGCACGGCCCACGATAAAAAAGACCATAAACTTTTAAATATAGCGTTCAGATTATTTTCCTTATACAGAAATAAAAATTGAATTTGTCCCAAAAAAGCGGATATCATCATCTGATATCTTCAGAATCGCTTACTATAAAGGAAGTAAAAATACATGACATTGTACGTTGTACATTGACATTCAAAACTTGACGGAAAAAACGGCGTCATAAATTACGTTCTGATATGTTCAAACGACGTCAGAGATGAAGTATTTATTCAATCAACTTGAAATTATTAGAATAGTTTTAGCTCATTAATTTTAATTTGCTGTATACTATTTTTCAACTGTGTGTGAAATTTCAGAATCACAACAAGAAATGGAAACGAGTTTTGTACGATGAAAAGACGTTGTTTTCACTGAGGCCCGACGTCGGATTAGGCTGTGTAACTTGAATATACGAAGTATTTACTATTCATATTGTGACGCTCTTAGGTCATCGTTTAATAATTTTATTTTGGTTGTAACGCGTCATCTGATTGGATAAAAAATTAATCTAAATTGTATAATCTGGTTTGCTTACATCACAATGACTTACAGTACCTGGCCATAAGTGAGTCATAATTTTATTTTTACACTATATATTTCATTGAAAACCCTATTTTTTAAAAAACTTGTTGTGAAGTCAATTTTAGCTCAATTTTCATGATTTTTTTCACTGAAACATGCAGAAATATTCTAATTTTCTTATCTTAAATGATAAACAAAATGATACTTAAACTATTGAGAATAAATTATAAAATATTGTCAAGACAAAGTTTTCTAACCTCAAATTACTATGATTTCTTAACAAATTGAAGTCTTAAAATTTTTGCTTTGCACTTGACCTGTGATTTCACGGCAATGCATAAAGATAAAACTATTTTGAAATAATATGAAGAAACTACAACAAATTCTGCATTTTAAAGTGTTTTAGACATTAAAAAGAAACAACAAATGACACTGCAATAATATTTTAGAAAAATGTGTTTTTCAATGAAATGCTTGTTTTAATGAACAATTAAAATATGAACAATTTGAAGGCATTTTAAGGAGAGAAATTTACTTGTTTTATGTTCTTAATGAATGAATTTTAAATTATAAGGTATGAATTAAATAGCAACCCAAATTATACTGCTATAACCTGGGTTGGAGCAGATTACGCTTTTTTATAAACCGAAAAGCGGTTTATAAAGCGTAAACTGCCCCAACCCAGGTTAAAACAGTATAATTTGGGTTGCTATTTAATTCATTCCTAATTACAAATATTATGGATTTTGGTTTATGTATAAATATTATTGCACTGAGCTATTAAAATGAGCTTTACGCTAGACTGAACCGTGTGGCTTGAGTAGAGTACTAGTATTTTACACCCTAATCGTCCGTAAAATAGTATGAATTCTTTTAATTTTAATATCTGCTAAATTATTGTCTATATATAATTTCATCGTTTACAATTGCCGTTGTAGACATTATTATATAAGAAAATTATAACCTTTGTTTTTCCGGCCGGCACTTATACACTGTGCAGTCATTTCTTGCAGTTAAATTGTCATATCTTAGCTATATACTCATACTTTTCATAAGTCTCTCTCTGTATGCTACAGATATCTTAAAAAACATATGATTTTTACTCATTGTGTCACTTTAAACATTCCAAATAAAAGTAGACATTACCGCTACGATGCATCGTTCGTTAGCTAGCGGCTTTAGCATGTACAGATTTATTTAAAGTACGACATATTTAAAATCTGTTTCGCCTGTTTATATTGTAAATGTTAATGAGAAAACGACAACAAATGAATTTTGAATCTGTATTCGGAAGGTTCCTCCCAAAGAATACCCACCTCCCTCCCCCTAAAAAAAATCTGCATCGAAGTCCTCATCAGATATATAGATGAGACTTATGACTTGCCATTTTGGCTAAAAGCAGCATGGTTTGACTTGCATCTTACCACAGATATATTTTTTGTATTGAAAGTTACTGTCCTACCTATGATTGTTAAGTAAAATAAGGTCTGTACGGGTGCTGCATGGACTCGAGAACCTTAGAATGGAACTTGCGCAATTGGACCCTATTGCAAAATAACTTGTCATAGTTATCATGTTATTGTTTTTTTTTTAAATCCCAAAATATGATATCTGGCCAGTAAAATATATAGAAATATTCACATCCACTGAATATTTTCTTCTTTATTTCTTAAGAAAACCCATTGCGTTCATCACTGCCTGAACTACATTAGGCGTATCACCTGTACAGATTTCTTGATCAGTGGCCGTTCCATCAATGAAACGTACAAAGACGTTCGCATCATTAACACAATAATTAATATTTTTAATCCTACTAAAAATGATAATTTAAACAGATATAGAGAATAATACATACCCTTTTCCATATCACATCCTGTATCAGCCCGAGACACCAATATCAGCCAGAGGGCCGAAGGCCCGAGGGCTGATATTGGTCGAGGGCTGATACAGGATGTGATGTGGAAAAGGGTATGTTTTATTATATTTATTACATACTTAGTAATAAAATACAGTTGAGAAGAAAATAAGTAAATAATCATGCATGGACTTCTTACATACATGTACATAGTCTAATGTCTCATAAGATTTGGGTTTGTTTCTATTTCTATTTCAATGCAATTTGAAAATATTCTATAGTATTACATGTATTTGTAAATTAAGATTAACCTTATTTTCAAAAAGTTAAAATTAAGAGAATATGAACCCACCAAAAATTGTGTATGAGTACAAGTACTGTTATTGTGGTTTAATTTACTAAGGGTGTGATATTGACGTCACAATAGCCGTATCAGCCCTGCAGGGCTGATATGGATTTGCAGGGCTGATACGGATATCAGCCCCGCAAATCCATATCAGCCCTGCAGGGTTGATACGGCTATTGTGACGTCAGCCATATCGCATATGCAAAAAACCTGTATTTATTACTAAGTGTGTAATAAACAAATATAAACAATAAAATGTCTTTCTTTGTTTGTTATTACTGAAATGAACGGTCGCAGCTATTGCAGAAAAAAATTACATAACCCGATTACGCGGGTTATGTATTTTTTCTGCAACAGCTGCTTCCGTTCATTCCAGTAATAATAAACAAAGAAAGCATTTTATTGTTTAAATAACGAACAGTATTCAATCTCAAAAGTCCCTTATACAATACAAAATTGATGCAGAGCAAACAAGGACCTCATAATATCAGAGGTGCGATAAGGTGCCATGGAGGAGTGAACATCCCCTGCCGACCGGTTACACCCGACCTGTGTTCCTTGTCATGATCGGGAAATAATGGAAAAAGCCGTCGTCAATACGGTGTGTATATAATGGCCTTCCAATTAGAATGAAAAGGGTCAGTCAGCATTTGACTCAATGATCAATTGTAATTGCTGAGAAGGGCATTACAGTTTATGTCAACCAAAGAACTTTGAGACATTGAGACTTTAAACGAGACTGCTGATATACTTGTTTCATCAACTTGTTTCTCATTAACTTTCCTCGTTTTGAAAATTGTTCATACATAAAGCATACTCTTGCGGATCGAATCAACAGAGAGATATAAACCCAGTATGTAGTTGATGAAGGTATATTGCTGCATAATTAAGGGAAGTTGACGATTGAAAAGTTAAAGTTATCACGTTTATCATGAAGCTGTCCATTAACGTCTTTTCAAGAAAAATATCTAAATATGAAACAGATGTGTCAGACTCTGTGGTATCTTTTATCTCAAGCTCACCAGGATATATCGTATCGGCATCAGAATGGATATAACCATTGTTTATTGACAAAACGTCGTATACAGGTTATCTAAATGTCGAGTTGAAGGCTTCAGCACCTGTTTTCTTCGGTTGGCAGGCCACTCCCCAATGGCACATAATCCCACCTCTGATGTTTAAGAGGTTCGTGTTTGTTCTGCTACAAAATTTGATAGTGTAACAGACTTTTGAGCTTGAATACTTAATCAAGTCCGCGAAATTCAAGAGAATCCTCATATCCATTTTATCTTTTTATGTAGATATTTAAAAGATAATTTGCTATATATTAAAATAGCTGCTGGGTCAGGTATTAAAAATTTTGAAGTCCATTTATTTTAAATTTTCAACATTAAACAAATCATTGTATTAGGAAAAAGACCTACATGAAACACCGATTCTCGTAATTTTTTTCCATTGATTTTTCCGATCATTAAGCTGTATGTACTGTATTTTGGCAGAGAGGACGAAGGTTAAAAATTATCTTTTTATCTGAATGATAGATAAGTTGTTGCTTGGTAAAGTGTGTCAGTTGTTATTTTTAAAGAGACAATGGCAAACGTGTCTTTGAAGTCCTTAACTATTCTGTGTTCACTGCCTTTCATCAGTGGTAGGATATTTTTTTTTGCGTCTTTATTTTTTAAAGTTAAAGTAATGCATCTGAATCTGTATTAATAGCATTTAAACAAAAAAAAAAAAAAAAAAAAACCAGTAAAATATATTTCTTGTTTCAAAATTATTTTTGACTGGATGGTATTAATTGTAGATCTTGAATGGGCAACTTTATTTCCTTCATAAACATGATAAACAATATGTCAATACCATAAAAGTATAGTTCAACTTTATAAGGTTCATTTACCCTCTGCTGATATACCGGTAGCTATACTACATATTATCAAAGTCAGGTTAAAAGTCCACTACATTCAAATTTTGCTCCGCAAAGGTAAAGTCTGTTGATTTTATTTTAAAATCATAATTAATATTTCTCCTGAAAAATCATGTTTAGGTTAAAACAAAATATATGGTAAGCGGATGGATGATAAACCTTAAAGAACGGGCAATGATATATTATAGAATAAAATAATATTTCAAAATTATTAGATTTCAATAATACATATGATACAGTATTTCTCATAAGCTCATGGACAATAAAGCTAATATATTCATCACATCTAATTTATCTGAAATAAGAGAAAGGGGGGAAATATAAAAATCAACCTGTATTATTAAAAAAATTGTGATCAGAAATTGATGTTCATAAATATGACTTGTGCAAAATTTATAAAATATCAGTGAATCAATAGAATATTCACATCATGAACATATTTTAAGTTATAAATAATTGAATACTAATCCATAATTTTATGATAAATCACTTTCCATTATTTCAGGTTGTTTTGTGGGATGGTTGGGATTCCAGGACAAATGCTATTTCTTTAGCCATACTACGGCCTCTTGGGCAGATGCTGGAGTAAGATACTGATAGCGACCATAGATGTAGATGTTTTCCAAATAATGTATACACGTTTGACAAATAATGTATACACGTTTGACTTTTCAAAGAAAATTTAAGTTCCAACATCTTATGATTTTTAAATCAGTTATTTCTAAGAAATGTGAATTTATGTTAATTTTATTGTTTAACCCTTTGACAGAAAATTTGATATATTAACTAAATCTGTCACAATCGGACCTTTATCAGGAAAATATCATCCTAACAATTAAGAAATTTTTGAATATCCTATGCATATTGATCCCAACTAATTAAAAAGATTCCAATAGTTATAAACTTTGTTCGAAACAGAGTACTTGTACACAGCTTGGTTCTAAACTCGTTGAACCAAAAACAATGGAGGAGGCCTGGTTTCTTATCAGCCACAGCCAGAATTTAGGTAAAGTAAGTTGTTGGTACTTTACTTTCCCTTTTTTTTACGTTCCACCTGAAGCATTTGTTTAGGCGTTGTTACGCAATATCTGCTCGCAAAAATTTATTTCCTATAGGAAAATCCACGATCAAGAATCTGACAAACAATATTTTGTACTTGTGTATGGAAGTGTTATGTTGGCTCTTCCATTAACTGTAGCTTACTTGAAGGATAATACTTGGGTATTAAAATATAAATCACATTTGCAGTCAAGACAAAGAGTTTTTTTTAAAAATGTAAATGTAAGTAATAAATTATTATTACTGTATACAGGGAAATTGTTGCCCCCGTTTTATTTTCGCCCCTTTCGCCCTCTTCCTGATTGGGCGAATTTAAAACTGTGCGAATGCAAATTATACGGCATAATTACTTAAACAAAACTAAGACTGGGCGAATTCAAAACGGGGCAAAATAGTTTGCAAGTGCAAAAGGGCGAAAATAAGACGGGGCGAAAAATAACCATGTATACAGTATTTGAAAGGTATTGTTTCATATGTATGACGGTATGTGCAAACAAATTTCCATAACCCAATTTATTTGCACACACTGCTTATAAATACAGTAAACTAAAATTATTAGAAATAGGAGGGGTGACCAAACATTCTCGAACTATCTATATTTAATTACAAAACCACTATTCAAATTAAAATGAAATTCGGCACACATATGGTCATATAATATGTTCTATAAAAAGCATCAGACAGATTCTGTTTTCTGTTGTTAATTAAAGAGAGCTGAAAAAATATCAAAAGAAACAAAGTTAAAAACATTTATGACGAAAGAATATGTGAATTTAAACAATACTGTAACATTGTTTAAACAGTTTTCTTTTTCAATTCAAATACAGCACATCTGCTTTTTGTAATACGAGGGGCATTTCAAAAGTTCTGGCAAATGATTGATAAAAAAAATTATTTTTAAAATTCAATTAAAATTATCTTATCTATTTAAACTAAGCATGTTTCGCCTGCTTTGTAGCTTCATTATTCATTAAAGATATGCTACACTAAGTCTATTTCTTTCGAAACTTCACTTTATTCAATGTACTTAATGACCAACTTTCCTTAAAGGTAAAAGTTTCTGGATGGGGATGTCAGATTTAGTGGAGGAGGGTAGGTGGGAGTATTCGTCTACACATGATCGTGTAACACTTGACTTGTGGCAGCCTGGAGAACCAAATGCGCATACAGAAGAGAACTGCATGCTTATGTGGCAGCCTTTTCACGGCAAATGGGGAGACTATTTCTGTAATAAAATGATTAACTTTGTTTGTGAAATCGATAATGGGTAAGCGCATATACTGAATGATATACGACAACGATTTCACATTACCCATTATGTTATAAATACTATAACAATTTAAATGTTATAAATACTATAACAATTTAACTATAATGAATTTGATAACTACCCAAGTGTTATTGCTTAAACTGGGCTAGAGAAGTTGACGCTTTATAAATCGCAAGGCGATGTCAGGGCTCGGGGAGAAAAAAACGATAAAAAACATCGGGTTGGAGAAAAATCATATCCAACCAAATATGTTTTATTCTATGTTTTATGCAATACAATCAATGTTTTACAGTGTTTTATATAAGGAAACTTTTTTTATTTGCTTTATAATTTCAGAGATCCTCCCCAGGTAGTTGGATAAGATGTAAGATAGACAGAACTGCGTTATACATATTAAACTTTTACAGCAGCAACATCAGGAAGTTGTTTTTTTCCTATTATGTGCTGACTTGATTTTTCTTTTAAATTATCCTCTCACAACGCAGTTGTAGGGGATATTGTAACCCAATCGTTTATGTGTGTGTTTGTGGGGTATGTTAAGCTTGGTATGTGAGAAACGGAAGTGATGAAGAAGGTACAGTTTCAATACAAAGTAAGCCCGATATTTTTCTAAAATATGAAAGTGATATAAGAAAAGAAAATGCATTCTTTCTTAATCATAGAAATTCCCTGCACCAAGAATATACAAATAATTTTTCTCATATGACCTCCTTAATGCTAATTGTGACGTCATTAACTTGTGCATTTTCCCGTATTTTCTTAAAAAGTTGCAGAAGACATCAACTTTTAGTGGAATTTTCTTCAAGAAAACATACTCTGCCACCGTTGCCCGGCAAGATTTTGAGATATGTGATTTTTCATAACAGTTTACATAATATATTTAGAAATTAAAGTGGGCGACGATGGCAGACACTATTTTCCAAAAGAAAATAAGCACAGAAATGAGTCATTTTGAGACTTTACTGCATTAAACTTAGAAATGCACCAAATTAATGACGTCATACTACCAGAAAGGTCCTCATTCATGCCATATTCTTTCATAATTTATCATATTCATCTACTCAAGTATTGTTTAAGCAAATATCATAACTTTTTAAGAACATTCAATTTTTAGGGCACATTAAAGCTCAATCTGTACCTTCTTCTTTGTAAATTTTGAAGATTATAAACATAAAATTTGTTTCCATGCTTTTTAAAGGATACAAATTTGATTTATGTTAAAGCTAATACTGAGAAGCAGAATGCAATGAGGGATGCAGGCTTAAAACAAAATTAACCAGTTGTAACCATCTTCTCAAGTACTTTTAATTAATATTCAATCATTAATTAAATGTACTACATTTGTGTCTCTAACATTGTAAAACTACTGACAGTTAACAAAATATGCTGTATGAATGCTTATAAATCAGGATTCTTCTGAAGTTTTCTCTCCCCAGTAAGAAATTTACACAACAATTAGGTAACAATCTTTATTATCAGTTTAATTCATATAACATGAAGACAATTTCTGCATTCAAAAATGACCTTTCATCAACTTTGGTTGAGCATCTTTTTCTGCAAATCAATGTGTTAACACATTATCAAATGAAATAATTTCAATAACTTTTAATGTATTGACTGTTGATTAAATTGTAAGAGTTCGTGAAATTTGCTTCAACAAGCAATGGGTAGATTGCTGCGAGTAGTGTGTTATTCTTGAATGAAATTTATGAAGAAATTTGTTGAAATTTGTTGAACTAATAATACCCAGCAATACACCATGATACACTGTCATAAAATCACACCAACACATAATATTCAGCCTTGAACAATTTAAAAAGCAGAAAATTCTTAACACAATCACTGGTAGTGTGTGAAAGGTGAAACAAGCTACATAATGGTTGTATATAGTCTGCATAAATACATGCAAACACAAAAATTTTAATATCAAATCCACATATCAAGCTTAACAATGATTATAAATGACCAAATCATGTCTCAAATATTGATGAACAATGAATCCCAGGATGAATTGGTTTTTTATATACTAAGTTTACTTCAGGTAAAAGTTTATATCAACAGTATCATTATCCAAATTTCTATATGAAATGTATGCAAAATATATTTTTCATAGTATTTTTACACTTTAACAAATGTAAGAAGAGATATCTTAAGCTATATAGGTTTTCAACTTTAAAAGATACAATGCAAAATGTCTCCCAAAATCAGTCATGATTCGTGTCCTAATTTTTGACCCCTACCGATCTTCGTGTCCTCTATCATACAGAAATACAAAAACATTTATTTTCATAAAAAGTCAGAAAATTTTCAGATTTAAATCCAAAATGGTATCAAAATTTAAAATGCTGCCACAAAATATATAGGCAGTGCCTGCTATCCAATCCTGTTATGTTTAAACATAATGAAATATTGTATAAACAAACAACTGTTTCAAAAGGGGGTGCATATCAAGAATTTTTTTGCTTGGTAGTTAAATAGATTCCTAAGGGTCAGTAAAATATCATATGTATACAGGTCATCTTTACTAGCCAAGGGTTGCTGATCCACTGATAATTCTTCTAATTAGAGAACAGCAGATGCGAAACCTTTGACTAGCAAAGATGAGGTACATGTATAATTAAAGAGCATGTTCAACATAATTATGCTTAACGTAAAAAAAAAGAGCAACATACATAATATTTTTAACATTTTAAATGCATATTTACCATGTAATATATCCATGATCAATGTAGTACGTGTATATGTTATTTATGCATTCAAATGCATTAAATATATAGGTGCATTTTAAAATGAATACTTAAACTGTATGTTTAAAATAGATTCCAAACAAAGTTGAGCATACGGTACATATACATTAAATAAATGTGGATTTAATTTTTTTATGATTTTTTCCCTATGTAAATTCCAGCTTTTTTTCAGTTGTGAGAATGAATATAATGATGTGGAATGTTTTTTCCCAACAACCAACCCCCCACCCTTAAAAAAATGCTTCTTGATCTTCTGTACTATTACTTGATTAGTATTTGTAATTTGCTGTAGTTGACTTAAATGCTTACACTATAATGCTTCAAAAATTCTGTAACTTCATGTATAGATTGCAAGTTGTTTGAGAAGCATGAAAGCTCATAGTTTCAAGTACATGTACATATGTATATAAAGTATCAGAGTCATGAATGTCACTTTTGGATCAATGGAATATTTTATGTACTTCTACAGGAAATCTGTGAGAGTCTTGTACAAAATTATCATTTGCACAACTGCTTTACGTGATGACATACGTATACATTACAAATGATTTGAGAAAGAAACTAAATAAATGAAACATAATACATGTATTTTAATTAATTGGCATACTTTGTAAAACACCAGGTTTTCTATTGTGTCAAAATTTAATACAAAACACATACACCATAATCTAACACTCACTTTCTTCATTCAGCAGTTATGCATTATTTAAAAATAAGATTAAAATAGTTCCTTTCATCAAGTTGCTTTCCCAAGTTCTATCTTTTTTTGTAAAGCTCTAGATGAGTGATAAATCATGGAATCTATTATACCAGCAACTGTAAACAAAAAGTAAAAATTAAAAGTTTGTTTTTCTTACCATTTCTATATTATACTTCTTTAATAACAAGTATGATTGTAAAGTGAATTGAGCTTCATAAACAGGGTATAGCTGCCACTGAAGCAGCTGATTTGATTGTAAAATCTTAAGCATCACTATATCACAAGAACAACCACTAGAATTACCATTTACTGGATAAATTAAGTCTCAAAATGAAACATGAAATTGAAATGTTTTTTGTGGGGGAAAAAAGTCAGCATAGTCTGGCCACTGTAGTCTGAATTATTCAAAGTGGTGGTAAAAGAATTTTTTAAAAAATAAAAAACAGGAGGGGATTATTAATTTTTTTTTTGAAAAAGTGCTCTTAAAATGACATTTTTCTAAAATTCTATAAACTTGCCTTTAATGAATACCTTATTATTATTGCTTATTAGTCTGATTAATTATTAAGATTTCAGAGATGGACATCTCTAAACTGATTATTAAAGGTGCATGGACAGAGATTTGAAGTTAAAAAATTCTGCATAATATTATGACATATATTTTAATATCATTTCACACAAAAATATATAATTTTTTTTTAATTTAATCTAAAAGTTACTAAAACTTCAAATTTTTAGATGGGTTTGATTGACACATCCTTGCACTTTCACAAATTTTTATTTTATTCTTAATTTAAGGAAAAATGGCAATCTTGTTGTGTATAAATGAAAAATATTAAAACTATAATCCAGAGTAGAAATATTCGAAAGCAAAAGATACACACAGTATATTGTCAGTCCATGCAGTTGTGGTGAGCAGACTTTAACAATTGAACGCACCCCGTGAATCGTAAACATCAACAATAAAGGAGTTTGTGCCCTGTTGACAAAAACTGTGTACGATTCAGGGTGTGATTAATTTGCTAAACTCTGTACACTTAGCACAGAATGATGATACTTGTGAAGGGGTTTTGCTTTCTAACATTTCTACTCTGAATCTAATTATTTTTCTAGATTAAAGATATATCTTTCATTAATACACAACAAGATTGCCACTTTTTCTAAGTATTAAGAATTAAAGTAAAATTTGTGAGAGTGCAAGAATGTGTCAATCAAACCCATCCAAAAATTTGAAGTTTCAATAACTTTAATATGAAATAAAATTTTCAATATATTTTTATGTGAAATGGTATTAAAATATATATGTTGTGATATTACACAGAAAATATAAACTTCAAATCTGTGTCCATGCACCTTTAAATACAGTAAGGCAAAAAAAAAAATTATTTTGATTCGAAAGTAGTAATTATTTGCCATAGTAGTAAGTTTCATTGTGCAAACAGCAGGACAATTTGACCAAAAGTAGTTGGTAGGTGGGGGAATTAGAGACAAAGTAAAGATGTTATGCTGCAATTACAACTTTCAGTACTTACCCGTGAAAATTCCCCCAACAATGGCGCAGACACCAGTTAAAAAATGCATAAATGACCTGAAAAACATAGTGTTATAGAAAATACTTTGAAACAGGAGGAGTGTTATTGAAATGATAAAACTGAAAATTTAGTTTATAATAATTATTTTTCCCATACCTCTGTTTCTCTGTGTATTTAACCATCATTGGTGACAATTCATAAATAAAAAACACTCCTGGCAATCCTGAATCCCCCAATCCATTTCCAACATTTTTGGAATGTTTCGTTACCGAATATTGATTTGTATACAATGCCTGCATATAAAAATAAGATTTATTTCAAAATTCAACTCTCTCTCAACCCAGAGAACATAAATTAAAGCAGGATTACCAAAATTTTTGGGGGTCAAAATTGAATATTAAAAATATCAAATATCATGCAAACAGGTATTTACCCTTCCTTTCACATCGACATATGTTGTTGGCACAACTTTAACATAGTACTGGAACATAGTTTGTTCTGCAAACATAAAATTTAGATTAGTAATACATGAACCAGGTAAAAAAGAAGTTAATACACACATGTATACTACAGTTCTCTATAGATAACGTTTGAAAAGACAAAATATTATATATTTTGATTTTAAATATTGTGTTTAACAGAGATAGTCTTTTCATAACATATTCTTAAAATACAAATTCATTTTCTTTTTTATATGAAGCATGAAGATACATTTCTCTCTCTCTCTCTCTCAGTGCAAAAAAATTAATATGTTGTCTGTAAAGTGAAATATGCATATCTCATCTACTGAATTTAATTTGTATAAATAGATGGAGGAAAAAAAAAATCTTCTTGGGCCAAGCCGGGATTTGAACCCGGGACCTCTCGCACCCGAAGCGAGAATCATACCCCTAGACCACTTGGCCATATCAAAATGTGAGCAGTAACCTGCTTTATATTAAACAAAAAAGATTTTTTCTTCCACTAAGGAAAAAATAAAAATTCCGGTAGATTATTAAAGATTAATAAACTTGAGGTATAATTTTCTACTTGAATACAGAGGTTCTCGTTAATTTATTTGTGTAAATCGTTTCCACCGGAAGTAACTTAACCGGAACCAGTATGGTTGCACATGTACACTGAAACAATCGTAGAACACTGACTTTGTTTTTCAAACCCTTTTTACATCAGCTGAGGTAAATTGAAAAGATAATTATTTAGAATAATTCATTCTGCATTAATTTTTTCATTAAATGGTAAAACCTTTATTCGCAGTATCGTATTATAATGTAATTTTCTTGTACAGCTTGTATCAGCTGTGTATGTCAAATTTCACTCTTGACATTGAGTTGATGACATCAGAAACACCGAGCCTTTAAAAACAACATACTCTTCCTTCAATTTTCTTATTAGCGATCGCAGTGAGCAACGCTTCTAATAGTTCTTCGCGCTGCTCGCAGTGCGATCTTAAACGACAACGCATGGGCCAAGAGAAAATTCGGACTAGCAGTAGCACATTAATCCAAACGATTTTTTCCCGAAGTGATTTAGACCCTAAATGCACCACTACTTTAAGCTACGTTCTCCCTACTCAAGAATGATGGAGCTTCACAGCAATCTACTTTTGACTTAACGCTGTGTAACGGTAACCGCTAGCATCCATTGTAAAAATTCTTGCCTCTGAACCTCCAAGTAAAATAATTCATTAAATTATTCAATGAAAAATTCAGGCTTTGAATAATAACGAATGACATAGAACAATAAAATATTCACTATTTACATTATTACTTACACATAATTTGGTAAATCTCTCGTATAAACGATAAATCCATTATTTTTAAAATCAAAGCAGAAATTGAAACAAGTCTTCTGTTGAAAATTCGAGAATGGAATGCCAAAAATCTGATGAAACTAGTTTACTGTAACAATATCTTTGTTTTCTGACTAGCAATCAATTAATGAGAAGTCAAACTGAAAGTACTTCTGGTGAAAAACTCTGAATGAAAATGCTTTTATGATTTTTTGTGATTTTTATACCCTATGCAAACACGTACGGTAGGTACCTAAAAATTTCTTGTTTATAGTTTATTCATTCTCAGGCAGAATGAGCTTGTTAGAAAATGGCCTTCAGTTGTAAGAGTCCGAGGTATATAATGAGCGTAGGGACCTTTACCGACACTCTAACTTCACTTGTAAGAGCATGTTCTAACGAGAATGACAAAAAAAAAAAAAAAATTCCAACAAACGTGGATAACTGCAATTACTGATATTTTAAAATATTTGTTTAAATATTCTGACAGGCGGTTGTTTTCACTCATTTTTCAAAACATAAGGTGACATTTGAGTTCTAAGCCTTTTCACTGTCAAACATTTCTATAAAACAGTGTGAGCTACTCCCTGAAATGATGTCTATCAAATTTGCTATGTGTCTTAAAGTTAATCATACATCATCAGCAAATATTTGTTGAAATTTGGCAAACAGTCCATTAGTTGTTAAAATTTTTTGTTGGCAAGGACGTTACCCATTTATGATGCCCATTATATAATTTTTTATCATTTTTTATCATTGAATTGCAGTGTCTCGAATAGACTTTGTTTTCCAGCTTCTCACAATGAAACTATGTGATGAAAAGTAGTCACATAAATTGTTAAAGATGAAATTCATTAAAGATTCAATAACGCAAAAAAGTCAAGCTTAATGTCATATGATATCAGTATTGTATGTCATACAGTTCAGGACACTATTTATAGAACAGCCCTCGTATATTCCTGAAATTAAGCTTAAAAATCATAATGGCTTCTAAAAGTTTCACATTTGTCACTCTTCTAAAAGTTTCACATTTGTCACTCTTCTAAAAGTTTCACATTTGTCACTCTTCTAAAAGTTTCACATTTGTCACTCTTCTAAGTCTTCATGAAGTTCAAAATTAAGAACTGTAAGTAACAAAATTAATTTTTAATGATTAGATAAACTGCCACTGCTATGCCATACTCCCCACCCTCTGCGTCAGGACATGGGGGTCCTAGCTGTTTCCAGAAAATGAAGATGGGATTCCTAATGGGTTTCACCGTGGGAATGTCTGCGGGGGCAATTTTTGGTGGATTCACAGCTTTAAGGTACAGTGTACATCTGCAGGTGCAATTTCAGTAACTGCATATATACAATGTACTTTGTAAAAATGTATTCAAGGGGAACATGGCTACATTGATTGTTTTTTTAAATAATTGTACCGTAATTAATATCTATACATCATGTACTGTAAACTCTAAATCTCTAGATTATTTGCTTAGGCTTCTAGAAAAGGTTTTATTACTCATGAAAAGACTAGACTAAAACAGAAATTTTATAAAGGACAGAATGTACCAGATAAAATAAAATGTTATCATCAGTGTTCGTTTGGGGACCAATGTTCATGGATGTCGTGGGTCACCCTTATCATGCTTATCCACGAATTTGCATTCCCTTGAACGTTTATTTTGTTAATGTATCAATTCATTGAACCATGGTATTGATGAGTAACCGAAGAAATCACGTCCCGACGAACAGGTAAAATTTTGCTTAGCCACAAACATAGACCCCCACGAATTAAAATGATTCCACAGTAATAGGGATTCAAAACAGACACAAACTATAGCAATGTTGCCTGTAGCTATTGGATATTGATACTTTACCAATAATAAATAATTTGTTTACATGTGAAATGTGTAAATTTATGTTTTAGATATGGTGTGAGGGGAAGGGAGTTGTTACACCTAACGGGAAAATCAATGTTACAGTCTGGCGGAACCTTTGGAACATTTATGGCTGTAGGAACTGGAATCCGATGTTAAAACTAAAGATCAAATAACTTTGTGCTAAATATTTCATTGTACACTTATCGACTGAAAAATCACACATTCTCAAAATATAATTTTTCAAAAAGAAGAATTACAGAATTTTACGATAATGATTGTATTTGATTCCATTTACTGTTATAGTACAGTAGAAACATGTTTGATACACCAAAACTGTGTGGGGTTTGCCATACACTTGATAAAGACAATTACCACATCTTGCAAAATGATCATTTGACTATTTTCTGCATTGTCCATATTTGTAAATAAATTATTATATACTAAAATCAATTTTTCTTCAAATACATACAAATGAACAAATGAGGCACTTTACATGCCTATAACATGAGTGAGCAAAAGATATGTAATATTAGTTGCATGATCTCTGAAACACCCTGTACAGTAAAACAACTGCCAGGGATGGGTGATTTTGCTTCGTTATCAACATAATTTATTTCCATCAGATTCACAATATTTTTGAAACCCAAAGCCAATGATAGTCACCTTGCTATAAGAGTCATTTCCTAATATGTTGTTCACTTTAAGCTATACTATACGTTCTTGGAAGAACAACTAGATTATGTGTTAGTTGCCTACCTTCACTTGAGGCTTGACTGGTCTGATCCAGTGGATTTATTATGCCTGGATAATCTTGTCCAAAAGAGAGATGTCGAATCACATGGCTCAAATTAAACTGAAAACATAAATATTAAGTACACCTTACAGTGCAAGGATTTTTATAAAAGCATGTAAAATGTATAAATCGACATAACTGAATTGGTGGCACTAAAACACTCTATTTTAAACAAAAAGTTTTAGAGCTTAGTATCTGAAGCTAGGTTGGTCAAGTAAACTGCAAACTATCAAATTCTTTTCTTATAGGTCTTAATTAACTTAACCTCTTATATACATTTTCTCACCTTTTGTCCACCAAATGCTTGCAGATCATGCACTAAAAAAAGAAAGACGAGAATTGAGGTGTGCGTATTAATAAACATCAATGATTGTATAACTCACTGAATGTTATATAAAAACAATGCAAATTTTCACTTTAAACAAATGTTCTGATAGTTTTCATCCAATATAGATGCAACATACATGTATTTATACAAGCTTGGCCTAGGTAGGATTGTTAGTTATAATTTACTTGGAAATTGACTTGTTCATAGTGTTATAAACTTTTTGTTTTGAGTTTAGTGCCCCCTCCCCCCACAAAAAAATTAATTAAGCTTCAGCATTTAAAACAAATGAGCAAATGAGGATGCTTTTATTACAAGATGATTCATACAGGTGTGGATCCAGAAATTTTTCAAAGGGGGGATGAAGATGAGAGGGGAGGGGGGAGAGGAAAAGAGTTATTATAATGTAGGTTTTACATATACGTGTAGTTAAACAGGTCTGGACGATTTCTATATAAGGAAGTCAAGAACGATAACCGTGAATTGCTATTAATACACAGAATAAACAAGGCGCTAATCCTTCTGACCAATCAGATAACAGCATTTAGACAAACCCATGAGAGAATAAATAAAACACGTGGTTTTTAAGTTTTTTGCTCAAAAGATTTTTTTAGAAGAAACTTTTTGTAAACTTTATGCACATTTGGGAATAATATAATATTTATGACAATTCTACTGTGAACAAACACGACTTGAAAGCTTGGAATACGTTTTAAGTGGTATAAAAAAAATCTGTCTATAGGAGTTACCAATCCCAAAAGTTTACTTACGTTAAAAAATTGATATAAATACGTTAAATTTTCAGTTTTTAGAGTCTGGCATAAAAATCTTATCGAAAAGATAACAGTCTTTATTATTTTTGAGTGTTTATTACAGAATACTAGTAGTCCATGCAGTTTCTGATATGCGAGGTAAGATATTGGGATAAAACGCATTCATGTATAATTACAGGATTCTCTTTTCTCCACGTTATACGCCTTTCCTTATGCCCATTTTAAGTCTGCATAGCTAAGTATTCGGCGCTCGTGAAACCCGTGATAATGCAAAACTATATGTGTATACTCCATACGATAAACACTTGTGTGAGTTGATCTATACACATGGAATTTAAGCATAATCGATGAAAATCGGACGGCTAAGCAAAATTATATTTACCATCATATAATATATTCTGGTAAATGTTATAATTGAACTTGATAAAAACTTGCTGGTGCGATCTATACCTCTGTAAACGATTACATTGTATCGTGCATTATTTTTTTTTCTTTACCGAGATAAAAATGTCAAGGTTGTTCACGGTAAAAATGTGGGGAATACCTTATTCTTCAAAAGTTTTCATCTTACTTCTACAGATTTTTTGTTAAACATATCTTTTTGAGGAAAAAAACAAAAGCACGTGTTATCTTTTTGTTCTTTTAAAATATGTTTTGGGGTGTGTAAAAATGCTGTTGTCTGATTGGACAGAAAAATAATTACGTGTACTTGATGTACATTTATAGCAACTTTCGGTTATCGTTCTTGATTTCCATATTTGGAAATCGTTAAGACCTGTTAAATAACTCAATAGGATGCAGTATGTATGTATGTAGGTGAAGTATGATTTTTAAAAGTGGGAGGTTGATTAAATTGATAAAAGAAATACTTGTATGGATTAACTTAAAAAAGTTTTTGTAAAAGAAAGGAAAATAAATTTATGAACAAAAAATCCTATTTTGTAAAGGGGTGGGGTTTCATTTTGTTTTCACAACCAAAAATCTTTATATATTACAACATTAGCCTTTTACTGGATATTTTCTATATCAAACATACAACAAAAATTTGGGACAGTCTTCTTTCTCTCTATTTTTTGCAAATCCAAAGGGGGAAGGGGTGGTGGCAACCTCCCCCCCCCCCTTCTGGATCCACCACTGTCATATAAGCAAGTTTGTAAATGTTGGGCTATATTTTCAGCTCAAGTGAGCTAAAAAAGAATCTCTTAATGTAATTTATTTACACTTGAAATGCAGTTTATGCCTGTAATGATGTATTCAACTTTTTGGATTTTGCAAAATAGTCAATGTCTCCTTGACTTATTATTTCAATATTGAAAGGATGTACGACAATGGAGAAATAAATTGAACTGGTTCATTTAAAAATCACATGGAGAAAAAAAAAAAAATTAAAGCCAATCATTTAGGAAAATGTAAGACTGTGACCAACCATGGACATGATGCTGCTGAAAACTCTTGCCGGGAGCAAAGTGGAAGTTTCCCTGAACCTTGTTGACCTCTAGATATCCATAAACTTGACATCCCTCCTTCTCCTGGGCCTTCATTTTAGCTGTCCAACCCTCCCTGTTGCACTGCTCTATACCCTCGGGGGAATTGAAGGCCCACCCTTTCTTGCGATAGGCTTCTCGTACATCTTCACATGTATTACAGCATCTGGGTTTGTAATAAAATTGAAACAGTTAAGCTTTTTTATAGGCATAGGTCAGATTTGGGTGCAGCAATTTACTTTTGAATATAGTACATGTATATTTGGGTGGGTCAAAGTTACAGATGATTTAAGCCATTGTCTCCACACATATACATATACATAAACATTATAACTCACAAAGTGTGAATGAAGTGTATGTAAACTTGTAGACCTACAGAAGTTAAACAATGAGCATTATAGCTTACTTATGTTCACTTGACTCAGCCCCATAGCAACTTTCACAGCGATCTGGGTCCAACTTTTTTGTTGCAACCTAGAAATCAAATTTCAATATTATCAACAAAATATACATGTAAACATCAAATATATAGTAGATGTAATTCTTGCATTCTTGATATGATGTATCAGGGATACTTAAAATTGTTGCTCTCTTATTACACTTAAGTCTTTAGTGACTGTTGTGCATCAGTGAATATTCAGAGAAATGCCAATGTGCATGTTAAGTTGTTAACAACTTTGACCAAAATGACAAAATGGCTTCTCCAGTTACTTCATTTACTCTTTAATGGTTTTTGTGAAAAGTCCCCATAGTTATGCCCCTTTACCATAATGCTACATGTAATGACATTCCAAGGTTACAGAGGGCCATTTGAAAGAAACTAGATTAGAAGTAAAATTCATGTATATGAATAATTAAAAGACACCATGATGAACATTCCATTATAATTTCTACTCTAAGATATACCAGGGTATATACAAGTACATGCAAAGCAACTACAATAAATTCTATACCTCCACAATATCTTTGGACTTATCTCCAAGGTCTGAAAAAAGAATATTATAAATTTAGCAACTATGAATCCTTTGTCCAGTGATATTTCTAACCATAATAAGCAACTTTTAGAATATAAAGCCAGTTTAAAAAATTATTTTTCACTATGGCTAATCAATCACCAATTCCATGCTTAATTTGCTTAGTAATATGCTACAAGTTAACATTCTAAGTGACATACAGTTGAACTCAAACACCTTGAATACCAGGGATATGTTAAAGTGAAATGGAAGTCTCAAACACTGTAATATTCCTCAATAACTTGAATACTTAGGTATCTCCAACTTTTTCATAGTCCCATTGCATTCGAGATAGTCCCATCGAGTTTGAGATATATTGTTTGACTTTATTTATTACAAGCTACATCATGTATGCCCAAGAAATGTATTAACTCGGACTACTTCACGCACCTAAGATTTTTGACTTGCCTGTCATTTTCTAGATATCAAAGTTCAACTATATGTACATGATTAAAAATATGATTATCATAAGACAACAATAGGGCTGGGTATTGGCCAGAAATTTTGTATTGCGATATATTGCGATATTTATAACTGTATTGCGATATGTACTGCAATATTTTCAACGTAATGAAAATGGCTTTTTCTCATTATATTAACTTCAATTTACATGCAGATTGAACATAACTGAGAAATAACCAAAGGGGAAAATTATCAAGTTTATTTAATTAAACTTATATGCTGAAATACACCCATGCAAAAGCTTCTGTCTTAACTCTTTTCCCCCTGTTGCCACCATTTGACGCACTTGCGATTTCCCTAGAGTGTTTATCTGGCTGCCCCCTGAAGCCATTTTGACTGACTTGAAATGACTGACCATTACATTTAGAACATGCTAATTAAGTACCTAAATGTCATCAAAGTGTCACATATTATATATCAATGTTTGAGGAATGGATTGAACTTTAGTATTGTCATATAATTTTCTAAGAATAATTAATCTACAATTAACAATTTATAGGTGAAACCAGGTAAAATGAATTTTTCACAACTAATCTTCATATTATCCTTTCCAAGAGAGAAATTTTCTAGAAAATATACCAGTAAACTTAAAATATAAAACCAAACCAATTAAAAGGCTCATTATTTTTTGTTTAATTAATATTAATTAAGATAGATTAATAATGATAGGTAATCATCTTAGACTTGAGCCAACTAAACTTCAAAATCATGTTCAAGCAGGCATGTTAATAAATATTTTATATATTTAGTTGACCACTTCTTGCAAAAGTCTTGGGGAAAATAAATTAATACATGTTTTTATCTAAATCAATGCCCTGATGAAAAAAATTCTGAAAGTAGATTATTTAGTACTCATAAAACACATGGGAAATCTGTGGCCCCCATTGTTGTTCTTGTTAAAGATTCTATGATGTTCTTCCTCTAATTTTCATTGTAAAATTTTATTTCTATTAAATTCAACTTTAGAACTGATGTTAAAATATTGTGAATGCTAATACAATCCAAGGTATGTTACATAAAATGCAATATTTAGGCTGAATTTTGCTTGTGACAAGGCCCAATTTCTTCTTGTAAACAGACTGGGTGCCATTGTTTTCACACAGGTAAATCTCAAGTGAATTCACACCAAGCTGTGACTTCACTATAATTATAGTAACATTACCTAATGTGTAATACACATGATTGGCTATCAATTAGAGCTGAATTTATTTAGAAACAGGGGAAATCACAGAGCTAATTTAGGGTTGTTGTGTGTATGCGTCAAATGGTGGCATCAGGGAAATGGGGCATAGCGTCAAATGGTGGCATCAGGGGGTAAAGGATGTAATGCATTAGGGGGAAAAGAGTTAATGTTTTTCTTAATCACAAACCTTTCTGACAACTTTTCTTAATATTAAATGATAGAATTCCTGAGTCAAAACATTTTCCCGGTATATCGGTATTACAAAAACGTATTGCAATACGATATTTTTTAACACTGTATTGCAATATACCGAAATATCGATATTTTTTCCCAGCCCTAGACAACAATGTTCCAAAATAAAGGTGTGTGTGTGCCATTGTTTTGCTGTAGATCTACCTTCTTTTTCTGGTTCAATATCTTTAATTTTCTGTCCACTCGTGTCAAGTCTCTGTTTGTACAAATGATGGTCTACGTCAAGTTGTTGTTCTCCTGAGACATCCATAGCATCTATACTTAAATCTACAAAGACAAATTATAACATATATACATCTATACTTAAATCTACAAAGACAAATTATAACATATATACATCTATACTTAAATCTACAAAGACATCCCAAAAGTAGGATCATTGGTTAAAATAGAGTACCTAGGTCAGGTACCGAAGTATATTTTATTAGCCTAATCAGTTTGTTCACGAAGCTATTCATATTCATATAGATGCATGGTCATATTGAAATTCCAAGCCCTGCATGAGTAAGCTTTTCTTAAACAACTGCTACTGTCCGTTAATTTCAGCATATTGTATTGCCAAAAAATTGGGACATTAAAGGCAAACATCTCACAATTTCATTTCTAAATCATAAGTACACTTACATGCACAAGGCACTTTTGGAAAATCGATGTCAATGTTGATACGTATCTTCTGTCCTCTTGTTGTATCAACAAATAATTCAGGTTGAACATCTTTTGTGAGATAGAAATTCAGCTCAGAGATAAAGAGTATGACCATCAGAAGAGAACTAATCACCGTCACTGAAAAATAACACAGGAAATTATGTATACCATAGGTGTTAAAATATTTTAAACTGTTAATCTTTTCTACGCAACTCTAGTTTTCAATAATACAATATTAACTCATTGACTACTTGAAAGTAAGTTCTAGTAGAGTCATATATGGCGTACTTTTGATTAAATCAGACCAGCTATAATTTAAAAGATCTTTAAGTGATAAACATTTTTGATTACAAAAAAAGAGCAATGATGGAATGAGGCTTTTCCCATGGTGAAGCACCTTTGAATAGTGCTGCAAGTATACGAAGGATTCTAAATACAAGTCTGATGATTACTTCCTAAGTTAACAATTTTGCATTGTACTTAATGCAAAATTTAAAAAAATTACAAAGTAATCATTTTTTGGCCAAAGTTTTGTAGCATTCATCATTATAGATAAAATATTCTATCATTAAAATGATTAATGTCCTACGGACCCTGTTTAAGGATAGAATGCATTCCGTGTATTCACTATGTAGCAAAATAAACATGGGCGATAATCAAACTCAGTGCATTTAGTACAAAAAATCCAAAGTGTTCCAAATGCAAACTTGAAAGAAAAAAAAAGCTTCAAATGAAGCAAGAATAAACGTTGAGAAAATTAGTAGGGGTGAAACGATATGCCTCCTTCACAGTTCGATACGTATTGTAAAATTTTGTCTCGGTTCGATTATTTTCGATATGATACATTTTGATGGAAGAAAAATTTACCGTTGTTTTTACTTAATATTGTCATATCATTTATATGCAAAATGGGTAAGTAACATGTTTTGCCTTTTGCCAAACCTGACTGAATGACGATCCTGACCAAAAAACAAACAGAATGGAAAATAGAGATTTTGTACCGTGTATCAAACCGAGAAAAAATACTGAGGGTGAATCAATATTGCTGTCAACCGTTTCACTCCTATAAATTAGTTGAATTTTCGTCTTAATTTGGATTTGTTTTAGGATTAAAGTCATACGCAACCTCAAAAAGGTTTGTTATAATTAATTTTGAAGTTATTTCCAGTGAAAATCCTTTTGTATTCTTTAAAATCGTTTCGGAGCGATTCTTCAAGTTTTTGCAACATTGCGGGTAGAAGGGTGGTATTGTAACTGTGGTAAGGGCTTGTCCCGAGACACAGTTAGATTATTCTAACTATCATCATTAGTGTGACTGTATCAAGATATTTGGTGCTCATCATATTGTGCCATTCCTGCATTTGGCTACAAAATGTAAGTAAAGCAAAAAGTAAGTAAAATTAGCTACTTTTAGTAGGTTTAAATACCCACGTAGCTATAAATAGCTACGTAGGTAAAAAAAAATCTTTGGACTGGACCTGTTTAATGAGGTGGATAAAAAATACAAGTGTAAGCTGTGTAAAAGTTAAACTGTAAATGTATCCATTGTTCTAATAGTACAACTGCGATCGCCTAAATAATTGTAATAAATGTATTTTCAATTAAAGGATCAATTTGAAATATCAATTATCAATGATAAAATTAATATGAGATGACGCTTTTCAGTGAAATTAGGGTTGATTTGAAAAGTTGCTGAATATACCAAAATAGTTGGGCTACAAACCAAGTGCTCCACCAAAAGTTTTAACTCTGAAGTCCTCTAGTGTTTTTGGGTACGCGTCAAATTGTCGCAGTCTTTCTAAAAAGTTATTATCCGACATGCTGAAGACAGCACACTTCCCGCTAGCCCCTGCTTTGAATCACAGAGGCAACAAATAAGCGATCAGAACGTGTCGAGAGCCAAACAGGATGTTGACATCAGTTTGTAACTCTACAGATCGGAGAGCGCATATCAAGGGCAATAACTCTGGACAAGACATAGTCGGAACCCGCGTTGACGTTGAATGACAAAATCATGGGTTCCAGACGACGATGCCGATGGATACCAGGCGCGGATCCAGGAATTGAAGTTAGGGGGGCGCCAAAAGTAGGCAAGGGGCCTTGGGGCCGCCTTGAGGCCCCCAATGGGTCCAGGACAAAGCCCTGGTGGGGGCTCAGGCTCCTGGGTTCTAGAGATTTTGTAGGGTAAAAATGAGTTCTACCAAGTAGACATATTAACATTTTCCAGACGAAACTGTGATTCACGTTAACTTTGACAATTTTAGGGGCGCGCGCGCTGGATGCACCCCCTTAATTCCGCCACTGGATACTTTGGTTCCTCAGAACTTCTAAAGATTCTCAAGGGGGGGGGGGGGGTCAAAATAAAAATATTTTTTCCCATTTTATATAATTTCTAAATTACCTATTAATTTAGCTACTCATTTAAATTATTGAATGACTAAAATATATACGCTTAACTTTATAGCGTACCGTTAGAAAAGATTTGCTTGTCCTTTCCCTACTCTGTCACTCGGGGTAAATTTGTTGGAATCGGTTGGTAGGTGGGAATATTTTTTCTCCAGAAATTTCAACGTACATGTATTTGTTGACGGGATATACTGTTACAGGGGAAAAAAGAAAGAATTCTGTGTCCCTGAATTAAAAAAAAAGTTTTGATTCACTCAGGACAGTTTTAGTCAGTCGGTCGGGAGAGGACAAATTAAAATGAAAAATGAAAGATGATCTTAACAATTATATCCTGTGTTTTTTCAGTCAAGTAAATTGATACTGAAATGTTTTAAATTTACGGTGGTATGTTTAGGACACGCAATTATTTTTTTTTAAATACCAGAAAAAAATTATCTTGTGAAAACGACATAATTATCTTGTGAAAACGAGATATTATCTTGTGAAAACGACTTATTATCTTGTGAAAACGAGATATTATCTTGTGAAAACGGCATAATATCTTGTGAAAACGAGATATTATCTTGTGAAAACGACATAATATCTTGTGAAAACGAGATATTATCTTGTGAAAACGAGGTAATATCTTGTGAAAACGAGATATTATCTTGTGAAAACGACATAATATCTTGTGAAAACGACATATTATCTTGTCAAAACGACATATTATCTTGTGAAAACGAGATATTATCTTGTGAAAACGACATATTATCTTGTGAAAACGACTTATTTTATTATGTCGTTTTCACAAGATAATATCTCGTTTTCACAAGATATTATCTCGTTTTCACAAGATAATATCTCGTTTTCACAAGATAATATCTCGTTTTCACAAGATAATATCTCGTTTTCACACGATATTATCTCGTTTTCACAAGATAATATCTCGTTTTCACAAGATAATATCTCGTTTTCACAAGATAATATCTCGTTTTCACAAGAAATTATCTCGTTTTCACAAGATAATATCTCGTTTTCACAAGATAATACCTCGTTTTCACAAGATAATAAGTCGTTTTCACAAGATAATATCTCGTTTTCACAAGATAATTTTGTCGTTTTCACAAGATAATTCTTTCTGGTATTTAAAAAAAATATTTGCTTGTCCTAAATATACCACCGTATAAATTTCTATTCTAATAACAAAACTTTTATAACTTTTTTCATGGGAAGAGTGTAACTATATATCGAAACATGTGTATGTCACTTGAGAACCAATGAAATACATTGGCGTCGGAAGGAAATTGAAAGTGGGGAGGCTAAGTGTAAAAAAAAATTATACCTTCTCAAAAAACCTGACAAGCAAAAAAAAAAAACTCGAAAATCCTATTTCGGGGGGGGGGGGGGGGGGGGGGGGGGGGGGGGGGGGGAGTAGTTAGGTCAGAACTTCAGTACCAAAATTTTTTCCATAAACCACCACTTCCCCCATTTTTAACCTATATATTTGGAAAAAAAAGTGGGAGGGCTATGCCCCCCCTAGCCCCTCCCCCCGGTTCCGATGCCTATGGAAATACATGTATACGAAGAATCATATATATGTAGGACTCCAAAGTGCGATGGGACTCCAAAGTCCGATGGTCTGCGCCAAACCTCGATGGTTTGACACGCCAAAGTCCGAAGGTGCTGAAAACGTTTATAACGTCATAGTACAAAAAATGCGATGTCGCGCCATGCCAATACAAATAAATATTAAATGCAAAGACTTACCCTATTTTTTTGGATATAGGTGCGAGACTAACACTAATCTTATCAGTCGAAAAAATGTGTAACAACCATAAGCTTGGTATCTTAGATGGGTGCAGGACTAATCCAAATCAGTCCAATAGTCTGCGAGGACTAACCATAAAATCTCTTGGCTGAGTTAGAAGAAACACATCGGTGTTCAAGAACCAACACAATCAGTCGAATGGTGTACATGGACTAACCATAATAGCTCTGGTGGGCGAAAACAATAAGCAATATCAGTAAAATTGTAAGCGGGACAAATACTAAATCACTGGATTTTGAATGCAGGACAACGTCATGACGTCGAACTATTGTGACGTCATAAACGTTGATTGTCCCTTCGCACCATCGGACTTTGGCGTGTCCGACCATCGCATTTTAGCGTTGCGTGTCTCATGGGAAACGAGCAATCGGACTTTGGCGTGACAATCGGACTTTGGGGTCCGTAAAGACAGCGAGCCATCGGGGTTTGGCGAGACCATCGGACTTTGGCGTCACCATCGCACTTTTTAAATAGAGTCTTACATATATAACGAACTGTATCAAGCTCAAAAATCAATCAAACGGCAATACAAATTTTGCAGCACAGAAAACACGAACTTCTCATTCAGAGGTGGGATCAAGTGCCATGGAAGAGTGAGTATCCCCTGTCGACGGTTACACCCACACACCGTGTGCTCCTTATCATGATGTCATATTCAGAAAATAACAGAATAATACCTCGCTGCTGACCGACAATTCAGGATTGATGAATTTTTTATAGATAGAATATACATGTATTTGCTAATATGGTCATTGTATAGCCCATAAAACTTATGAAATAATGACTTTAAACGAGAATGCTACTATTCTTAAGTTATTTGATTTTGTCAATAACTTAACTCAATTCTTTAAGTTGACGATTGAAAAGTTTAAATCATCACGTTTATCATAAAACTTTGTCGTAAAATTAAAAATCGTCTTCGCTAGCTAATGCTTCCGATACGCCACTCTCCTCATAAACACTCGACATACGATGCTGTTAAATGACAGGGATGCAGATATTGATCCACTCCAATCACAACTTGAGAAGAAAATCCATTAAAACACCCGTATGTCAAGGGCTTATGGGGAGTATAGCGTATCAGAAACCCGGGCTTAGCAAGCGAAGATGCAGCAAATTATTATTTTTTATTTCAAGTTCACTGGGATACATCGTTTCGACACAATGAAACACCGTCGATATATTTAAATGTCGAATTGAAGACCACGGCAAATGTTCTCTTCTCTTTTCATGTATATGACTTGACTTTGAACAAATTTTGTTTCATGTGAATACAAAAATAGGTCTGCTAATAACGGGGCGCATTTGATACCCAGGGTATTTCCAACATATTGTTAAAAAAACAAACAAAAGAACCCAGACAACCCTGATATGGATAATAAAAAGATAAATGTGACAAGTTTGCTCTCTTTTACGGTGTTTCATTTCAGTAAGTGCTATGAATCCATTTCTTCTTCTTCTTCCCATCCAGTGCAAAACCACTTAAGTATTATCGCACTCTGCGTGAGGGGGTGAGTGTCTATATACAGTGCTCAAAGGAAATTTAAAAATTTAAAAGATTAAAAGCGCAGAGATGTGACATCTAGTGACTGGCACTGGACAGCTGGGTCTTGAAGCTGTCCAGGGTCTTGGCCTCCACCATTCCTCCTGGCAAGGAATTCCACAGTCGGATGGCTTGAGGGAAGAAGGAGGTCTTATACACTTCTGTCCTTGTGTGTGGTACCAGGAATCGCAGGGTGTGGCCTCTGGTCCTCAACGATGCTGGGTGTAAGAAGCTCTCCGCCGGGATGTCCACAAGATGATAAACTATCCTGTATAATATGATAACTTGGGCCCTTTCCCGACGGATCTGAAGTGGCTGCCATTGGAGCTGCTGTAGCATGGATGTTACACTGCTTGTGCGCTGGTAGTCTCCAATGGCGAATCTCGCTGCCTTTCTTGAACTGCCTCTATCTTCTTGATATTTTCCTTCTTAGCTGGGCTCCACACACTGGAGGCATACTGTGTGGGTCGTACCAGTGTGGAATAGCACTGTGCCTTGATGTTAGTTGGACACCGGCTGATGTTTCTGCCGAGGAAAGCCAAGGTGGAATTGGCCTTCTTAGTGGTTTTATCTATGTGCGTGTCCCAGCTTAGGTTCTTGTGGATATTGAGACCAAGATACTTGGCAGAGTCGACAGTGTTCAGGACTTGACCGTGTATGGTATAATCGGCGCGAAGTGGGGATTTCCGGTTTGTAACCCGCAGTACTTCACACTTATCCGGGTTGAACTGCATTAGCCATCTATCTTCCCACTCCTGGCGCTTATCTAAGTCGCTCTGTAAAATTGCTTGATCTTCTGTTGTCCTTATCCTCCTATACAACAAGCAGTCATCGGCAAAAAGGCGGATGGTAGATGACACTGTTGATGGCAAGTCATTTATGAAGATCAAGAAGAGAAGTGGTCCTAAGACAATTCCCTGGGGGACTCCCGATGAAACAGTGGTGGCTGCTGATGATTGGCCATCGAGTACAACACGCTGGTTACGTCCGATCAGGAAACTTGAGATCCAACGGTGTGTTTGGCCTCATATGCCGTAATGGTGTAGTTTCATCAGAAGTCGATTGTGGGGGACCTTGTCAAAAGCCTTGGAGAAGTCCAGGAGTATGCAATCCATTTGTTCTCCAATGTCTAGGCTCTGTGCAAGATCATTTACTGATAGGATGAGCTGTGTCTCAGTAGATCGATGTTTCCTGAAGCCATGCTGACTATCAGTCAAGAGCCCATGCCTGTCTAAATGACACATGATGTGGCTATGGACTATATGCTCCATGACCTTGCTACAAACAGAAGTCAGGGACACTGGGCGGTAGTTGACTGCTGCACTCCTATCTCCCTTCTTAAAAAGTGGCGTGATGTTAGCCGACTTCCATTCATCTGGCACCCTGCCCTGGTCTAATGTAGCTTGATATAACACACCCCTACTAATGTTATTATGATTTAAATTCAAGACACGTGGTTTAGGTTGATCTATTCAAAGGTTATAGGGTAGAACCGGTTTTATAAATAAAATCGGCAGTAAACAGGATATTGCTATAGCCTGTTTCTTTTGAAAACATGTCCTGTAATAAATGTTTCCAGACCTTTCTGAAAGACTTTCATGATTTTCAACAGAAAGGGGGTGGCTAAAGGAGGGGGTGTTAAAATAACAATATATCTTATACTTTTCGGCGAAAATAAGAGCTCACTAGTGACCGATTCGTTGGTAAAAATGGTAAAAATGGTAAAAATGTGTTTTATCATCAACACTGACAAACCTTTGTTTGCCTTATATGGCTATTGTTATAAATGCGCACAGAGGATCTTACCACGAGCAACTGACCAATTGTTGGAATGAATAGCAACGTTTACGCCAGATACATGTTTACATTTTACTTCGAACACGTGGTTCAGGTCAATCTATGATCATGTCAATGGAATACAAAATAATTTTAAAAAAAATTTCCTTAAGAACAAAATACAAAGATAAGAAACTATTAAATATGTTACGGGCGTTTTTAATTTATTGTTTACTGAAAAAAATTGTTTAATAAAATGTAGTTTGTGTCTTGTTCAGAACACCAGCGCTTCATGTTTAAATTCATGATCACGTGTTTGGCCAAGGAATTCACCTGGCAATTGTATTCACCGATAGTACAACAAAGGAATTAATAAAGACGCAAATCGCTTTTGCAGTATGACTTTCAGAAACCTAGACTTCCACCGTTTATTGAACAAATGAACTGCTTGTCATTATGAGCATGAACATAATATTTTGAAAAATGCTTTTTTATTTACAATAAGATTTTCCTTTTTTTTCAAGCGTAAAATTCCTGTAGTATTCATAGTAACCCATAATGCAATACTCATTGAGCTGATTGGTCAGTTAAAATCATGCTGGTGCCTCATTTGCTAATCTGACGCCAAAAAATATAGTCCCGGTTCCCATGCAAAAAATATTTTTCCAAAAAGAAATTTTAATTCATGACTGCAGAAAATTGTATCATAGAGAATACTTATTTAAGTTTGAATGAATGGAAGAGAGATGGATTGATTGAAGTACATTTCTACAGACATTATCAGCTGATTCTAGGGTGGTAAAAACTGAAACGCAACATAACTTTTCTGTTTACCATGTCTCCACGTGCTAGTCACTTCCTAGCCACATTTCCGTTAATAATTTACCCTGTCTAGCTGAAGTCTCGGTAACTCTCGCCAGAGCCACTGCCAGAGCTACTCTGAACTCATCGGGTCTTATAATTTGCAGAACAGCGATAAATAAAAGGTTCCGAACACATTAGTAGGGGTGTAACAGGGTCAAGGCTGGTGCTATCTGATGGGAAGTTTCTTTCAGTAGTCGTGTGGAGACTTCATCAGGTCCTGTGGCTTTGTGGGGGTTGAGCTGCTGCAGTAGTTTCTCCACCCCATTTTGAATAACGTTGATGCTTGGAACTGTTGGATGTGGGCTGGGTCCCATATCTGGAAGTGGGTCGCTAGGATTCTCAGTAGTGAATACAGATGTGAATTGTTGGTTAAGGATATATGCCTTCACCCTGGCACCACTATATGTTAACCCATCGCGTTTTAATGGTGCCACTCCGCAAGCATCGGTTCGTTTACTTTTAATGAAGCTCCACAGTCGCTTTGGTTTATGGTCTTCATCCATGATGATGTTGTTTACATACTCATGATATCTCAGTTTGCACTGAACATGTACAGCATTCTTAAGGTGCTTATACCGTGAGTGGTCCTGAGTAGATCTGGTTTTCATGTATTGCCTATAAGCACGATCTTTTCTTCTGGACAGGCGCTTTAGATCTCCTGTGATCCAGGGCTGGTTGAAGCGTGTCGTTGTCATCTTTGATGGAACATTCCTATTAAGGGCATCAAGGCATCCGCTCTTAAAACTGGACCACAGATCCTCAACTGGGTGTGGAGTGTCATGTCTAGCTGTGAATAGTTGGCTAAAGGCAGTTATGTTGTCTCTAAGACCCTCTAAGTCTGCTTTGTTCCACAGATACAACTTCCGACTAATAGGTCGTTGAAGTTTAACCTGGACATCACTGTCGACGAATATTGCTTCGTGGTCGCTTATGCCTGGGAGTGGTCTCAGACGATTTACTAGTGAGGGTCTGTTTGTGAGGAATAGGTCGAGGGTCGAATCATTCCTTGTTGGGAACTCCACCGTTTGCAGAAGGCCAGTATCAGCAAAGAAGTTAAGGAAAGCGTTGTTCAGCCCTTTTGGATTTTGATTCCCGCTAATTAATGGAGTTGGTTGACCACGAGATATCCGGTAGATTGAAGTCACCAGTCAGCCAAAATGGGGAGGTTGGGTGTGCTTGTATGATGCTATGGAGCTCTTCACACATTCGTTCTGCTTCTTCTTGGTTGCTACTGGGTGGTCTGTATAGTCCCGCTATATTCAGTGGTGGGTGTGTCCCTCTCTTCACTGATATTGCAACTATCTCTGATGTTTTAGAGATGTGGAGTACATCGCATGGTATATTTGCCTTTGTTATGATTATGACACCTCCATAGCCATGGCCTCTTCGCGATCCCTCCTAGCTTTGACAACATAACCTGTAGGCAAGAATTCGCTGTCATGAACATCAGGTCGTAACCACGTCTCAGAGCCTACAACGATGTCAGGGCTTGCAGAATCTACAAGGTTCATGAAGCTCGCTTTTTTCGCACGTATGCTCTGTAAGTTGAGTGAGATAATGCGAAATTTGTGTTGTGGCGGTTTTGCTGTGGTACCTGGTGACGTTCCCTTCTTAGGTGAGGATGAGTGCAATGGTGAGCCAGGATCTCCTGAACTGCTCATGCTGGAGTCAGTTTTCAAGATGTCATAGGTGTTAGATGTGTCAATGATGAAGGACTCAAAGAGTGACGTTGAAAAGTTCGGCAGGCCACATGAACAGCATATCCAGCTGACGTCAGAGTGAGCATTGTATTGGTACATCTGACTTGGCATACCTAGGCATCCTACGTGGTACCATTGGTCACAGTTATCACATGCAATAGCACGCTGACCCCATCTGCAGGCCTTGTGACCTCACAGTCAGCTGATCTAAGCAGTAGTAGAATGCTTATGTATAGCAAATGGTCGTTCTTGCTGCGCTTCATGAGTGGTTTAGCGCCATACACGGAGGATTTATTAGTTTTATGACTGGTTTTAATGTTCCGTGTTATGCATGTAAAGATATTTCCATTTGATCAAGAAAAATAATCGGGAAAAATTAAATGACTACATGTAAATAAGCAGTGACAATGGTGAAGTTCATGTCTTCATTTATTTTTTTTATTTAAAAAAAGAATGAAAAACTGCGACAAACACCACTGATTGCCCATTCTTTCCACAAACATAATAAAGATTAAAAAAAGGCAATATTAAGTTGTTATAATAAAGTTTTTTCTATGCCTCTGGTTGTCCAGTCGATAGCAATGTTTCATATATTTCGAAAACAACCTTTTTAATCATGTTGCCCTAGGCACGTCAGGTGTTGAAACAGACTATAAAAGCCGTGACTTTTTGGAAACGATGTATAGATTACTCGCGAGCGACCGATTGGACGCTTAAATTGGGAAAGGTCAAGGTCTAATATTGTTGATCACTAAAAATATTTTGGTCATTGAAAGACATGGCTGAACTGTGGAAACGAAGTGTAGTTTGTAACCCCGGGTAAAAGTTTATGTCGTAATCTACAATTTACAGTATGGGGAACTTGAGAAATATTTTCTATCGAGTGTGTTCAGGTTTTGTTTTGATCGCCACGGTACACGTGTGTTTGTGTACTGAGACCGTAGACAACACGGAGGAATTTCATATGGTTCAAGGTATATTTTCTATTTCTTCAAAATAAGTCTTTTATGTTTAGAAATATTGCCTTTCATTTTTGTCATGTCACATGTGTATTTATTTATTAAGTGGAAGATGTAACGTAGTATTTTAGGGAGCAGGCGTTCCTTTTTTTTATCCCCAGAGAAGTCTTGATCAACGTAATCCATTCTCTAATTTTATCCTGTTCAGCAAACTGTTTTCAGGTCTTTTTCAGTGTCGTCTAAAATCTTGAAGAATCATTACTTCGATCGCTGTTTTCATCTTAATTGTAATGTGAATTGATATTTGCCTCAAGCACCAGGTTTCCAAGATTAGGAGTATAATTTTAATAAATTTTAATAAAAATACACTTCAAACTTCTGCACTTAACATTGCTTCAGCAGCTGTTAAGTGCTTAAAAAAGGTACTTGGCACTATTGCGAGATTTTTTAAACTTGCTATCACTATCTGAACTAACTTTTCTTGTAAAATACATAATAATTGCACATAGACATGATAAACTTTCAAAGTGTTACTTTTATATATTATATGGATATACTATGTCAAAATTGTAGCAATTAGGCCAAGGGTTTGACACAGTGTATGGAGGCAAATGCAATGTATGTCAAACTCTGACTACTATTTCAGCACAGTACATCCAAAAGTACTATTATGACTAGTGGAAAACTTATTGCAAAGCAAAGAGTAGGTCTTAATTATGTTTGAGAAGTGACATTGGGTCAAGCTAGGTCATAAGGTCAAGGTCATAAAATATCACTCATTTCTGTTAAGGAACATTCATCACTTGATGTTTTTATCCCCTTGCCATTGTAACACAGACAGTTAGACATTTGTCTGCCTTTGCGTGGAATTGAATTAGGTTGAATTTAAGGCACGTATCTGTTAATTTAGAAGGTCCTGATTTGAGAGGGTATTTGGCTAAAGAATTCTTTGGATCATTTTCAGAGGCTTTGTGTGGAATCTCAACAGCCTGTTCAGCTAGGTTACTTATTCTGTCAATATTTTACCTATAGAAGTATAGAATCTTGATTTTTTTTGAATAGTTTAATATAGTTTAATACTAAAACTCCATTAATGATTTTTGTACAGTCATACAGTCTGCAGCAATCAAGTAACTAATAGAGAACTTGAGAGGTCAGAAATATATAATAATATTTGTATTATGTCTAGAACAGAGTAAAAAAAAATCTGCTAGTATAGATGTAATTACTCAACTCAATATGAATAAAATTCTTATCTTATAAATTTTTGTAGTCTCAGAATTCATTATAGTTACATATGACTGATAATATAGCCATGCTTCTGATACTTTGTTTTATGTGTCTGGATTGAAAAACAGTGAATGAACAATTGTTTTATTTACATGATCTACATTTGTCAGTGATATTATATGAACATATGATATGCATTAGCAGATTTTCAGGGCTTTCAGATAGATAAGAATTAATGGTACATTTACAAAGATAGGAGAATTTTTCTTTTTTGCCATGCAGTACAAGCATGATTTCAGCTAGCTGCAGATCTGTAGCATTATGGTTTTATATATTTGTCTTTGACCATAACGCTACAGATCCTGTAATGCAAAAAAGGTGCAATTTACGGCGCAATAATTTTGCGCACTTTTGGGGAGAATTTCTCCACTCTCCAGCATTGGTCGATAAACTACCTTTCACTCCCTAATTCTAGGCACATTATTTAACCAATCTATATATTTTATCTACCTCCCAACCCTCTATAGGTCTCTTTACAAGTGATAAAATCGCTTGATTAAAATTATTTGTTAGATTGCTGAAAATTCACTTCAAGTGAGTTTATTGCCTGTTAAGAGACAACTATAAATGGTTGGGAGGTGGATAAAATATACATATTGGTTACAGAATGTGTCTATAATTAGTGAGTGAAAGATAGTTGATTGACCAATGCTTGAAAGTGGAGAAATTCTGCCCAAGAGTGCGCAAAAAATATTGCGCCGTAAATTGCACCTTTTTTGCATTACAGGATCTGCAGCGTTATGGTCAAAGACAAACATATAAAACCATAAAGCTACAGATCTGCAACTAGATTTCAGCGGGGTAAAAATACTAAAGACTGACAGGTTTGAAAGATCTGGATTTGTATGTACATAAGAAAATAAATCATATTTGCATGATAAGGCAATAACATGTTAGATCTTCAAGTTTTACATTTGAAATTGCTCTATAAACTAGAGTCTCTGTCCTTATAAGAAGTTTCTGTGGCTTCATTAAAAATGCATGTTAAATGACAAAACATGTTTTATGCATTAGTTTAAATTGTCAATACCAAGAAAGACATGTTTTCTGTTAAATATTAATTTTTAATGAATACCAAAAACCAAGGAGCACCTGGGGCCTTGTTTGGCTGTAAAATCCGGAAAAATTATTTTAATCAACAGCTGTACCAAGATTTTGATTCTTTGTAGTAGATGTACTCAAATACACCATTTTCTTTTTTTAACATTTGTTAACATAATGAAGATTGCATTTCTGGAAGCCTGTTTTCAATTACATTTACCCTGAGAAAAAATTAAATGTACATGATTGAAATACTCTGTACATAGATAACACACATTTATCAAGCTCCAAGATCATTGAAATAATACAAACTGAAAGTAGAGCAAAGAGCCTGGTCTCTGAAAACATCAATGGTGGGATCATGTACCATGGAGAAGTAAGCAACCCATGTTGACTGGTCACACTAGCTGTTTGCTCCTTGTCATAATTGGTCAAATGGAGAACCTGTAGACAATAACATAACAATTTATAAGAATGAAAAATGTCAGTCGACAGCATTCAACTTAATAATAAATTTTATCATTGTGGTGACAACCATGAAGTTCACGAAATACGCATGTATTGACTTTAAATTAATTGGTTGATATCCTTGTTTGATGAACTTGTTTGTCAATAGCTTGTCTTGTTTAAGAAATTGTTCATATGAAGAAATTGCTCTTGTTCATCAAATCAACTTGAAGCCATGAAATCTATATGCAAGTGATAAGGGTATATGGCTATTGTACCAGGTACATTTATCTTGTAAGGGAAGTTTATATCATAGAAATTATAGAATCATAGAATTATATCAGAGAAAAGTAAAATTCATTACCTTTACCATAAAGTACATGTTCAAAGAATCTGGTATGTAGTCTGTATAACAAAAAAGTGATAAATGTTTAATTTAGACTTTCAGTGACAGTTGATTAATTAGTCCATGTACAGGGTCATTTTATGCATAAAGTGAACTTTGTTCTTCATTAATCATGCATTAAATAAAATATGTTATGAAGAAAACCCACTCTAAATGCTAATTAAGAATATATAAATGGAATGCATTAATTGAGAAAAAGTTGATTTATCTAAAGCATGAAATACTGTTTGAAGGTACATGTATGCAGCTGTTTATAAAGACACCATATGGATGTCTGAGGCCCATTTAAGACTTGGCTACCAAAAATGTTTTGAATTTGTTTTCTTGAATTTGCTGGAATTCGTTACCAGTATTATACAGTGGGCTTCTATTAGACACCTTCTTGTACATTATTACAGTAGTTTTGTTTCTGTAATGTCCCTCATGAGAATTTTTCACTCATATGGAGACACCACCACTTGCAGTTGGAGAGCTGCAAATTTTGTCCTATATTTGGCATTCGGCCATTGAGCAGTGAGGGATCTTTTTCGTGTCAGTACCTTACTACAAAACGGAACCTCAGTTTATACAGACCCATCCGAAGGACCGGTCTCGACGTCCCACAGTGACATTCGAATCCGCGATGTAAGGATCAACTCCTTACTTCACGACTCTAGAGCAGACGCTCTAACAACTGCGCCACTTGAGCGAATCATCACAGTGGTCATATCCTGTTTTTTTATTCAAAAATGTTAGATAGTTTCAGTACACAGTACATGAAAATTGAAAGAATGAGCAAGAGAGCAGCAGTGTGCAACAATCTAGAGAAATGTTAGGGAAGTTTTTTCTCACTTTTCATGACCACAAAATTTTTTAAAAAAACTTGTTTGTTTTTTTTTTGTAATTTAAAATCTGGAATTTGAAATTAGGTTTTGAATATAGATTACATATGTAAATCAGTTTATAATGTAAATGTATCAGTATATCACTACAGTTGAGGGAAAAAGTCTATATTGATCAGCATTGATGTGTGTCCTGTTAGATCTGACATCAGTCAGTACCAGTTCCTACCTCAATGCCTATCATCTGTTTGATGAAGATGCAGTATTTTGCCAGTAGTCATGATAACATTTGATGTGAGCAGACAAGCTTTCTGCCTAACCCCCAGTCTATTTCTCTGATCCTTATTTGTTGTAGTTTTATTGACAAATTCTAGATTAACATGCTTTTTTTTCTTGTAGTGTACGATTTGAAAACTAAGCTGATATTAAAATTCAATGATGGTGCTACTGGCAATAAAAAAAATCACAAGTACATCTCCGCCATTATTGACCTGTCTAATTTTATTTCAGATAAATCCTTTTCTAATGTGACAATTTATGACATGAATGTGACGTGTGGGGAGCACAGACCAGGGTTGTTTCCCTCCCAGACTTGGACCTGTAATGACATTAGGTAAGGCTTAAAATAGAACAGTGGTAATAACTTAATAAGGGGGCCAATGGGAGGCAATTTTTTTGATATTGAATTGTGATGATTTTGGAGGAGGTCTACTCTTCACTATAAGGCCTACTACAAAAGCAAATTAATTTGCATGTTGAATGTTGCATCTACTGATGCAATTGGAAACTGCTTGAATATTCATTTGATTTGCGATTAGGCTATATATATGTAAATATTTAATGACATTCATTGACAGGGTTTATTTTTTATCATACCTATGTAAACTCTAAGTAGCAAATTCACTTATTGGCTTAATTTCCATTTAATTTTTTTTAAGCAAACCTGAGCAGAAGCTCATGTGAGCTTTTCTGATCACATATCATCCATCCGTCCAGTAGTTCATCCATCTGTCTGTAAACTTTAACATAATTAATTTCTTCAGAAGAACTGCCATAGAGCTTGAAATTTCAGGCATGCCATACAACTTGTCCGTTTCATACATAACAAATTTTCGTCACAGTTTTCTCAGCAACTACTCATCGTAGATATTTGAAATTTTTTGACAATCTTCTCTAAGGTATTCATACGTTGGGATACATTTTTGTTCAAATTGGATATCAGCTTCCTGTTTGTCTGTGCGTCTGTCCATTTCATATATAACCAATTTTCGTCACAGTTTTCTCAGCAACTACTCCAGGGAAATTTTAACACAGGGTGGGGTCACAAAATCAACTTCCTTTTTGTTTGTGTGATACATAAAAAATTTTTCCCCATAGGAATATACATGTTTTAAAATTCCTCTAAAGAACAGCAAAGCCTCAATTAGTCTTGCTAATTTCAAGTTTGTTGACCTCAGGGCCAGGGTGGGGTCACAATAGGGATCATTTTTTCCCCGTAGGAATATACATGTTTTAAAATTCCTCTAAAGAACAGCAAAGCCTCAATTAGTGTGGATTCAACTTTGTTGAAATCATAACCCCCAGAGGAAAGTTTTACACAGGAATATGATTAATATATAGGAAAAAGCTTTTAAAGAATTTCTAAAGAACTTCTGATAAACAATTTGGGGTATAATGACTCAGAGAGACCCAGGTGAGTGCTGTAACCCTTGGGCCCCTTGTAAAATTTTTTAACCTTTTGAATTTAATAGATTTTAAAAATATTATGACAATGTAATTACATTTGGTGATGTAAAGATTTCAATCTCTTGTATTAATACTAATGTGATCTCTGTTTTTTGTAGGGTAAATGGGATGAGAATGGCCTATGGCTACTACCCTGGCTTAGGAGCAGACAGTAAATGCACAGAGTCAGGTGGATTCGATGAGCTGCGACAGCTTTGTTACAAGTTGATGGAATCTATTGCTTCTAACAGACAATTATGGGGAGCTCAGGTGAGATTTATTTTGTACCAAATCGTAAAATTCAAGTTTCCTGGATTGAGGAACCAAGCGGCTAGCCTCAGGATGTTGCCTAGTTGTTTATGTATTGAAAATATATACTGAAGAAAGTACTCATCAATTAGCAAGGAATCTGAAACTTATATGGATACAATGGACCCAAATAAATTATAAAATTGCTTATCATGGTCCAAGACCCAGACTTCAAAATCAAGCTATGATAATCATGTACTTAAATTAAATACTCCTTAACCCATTTAAGTCATATACATTAAATTGAGACTGTAGCTACAATAATGTAGTCCTCTCTGATGTTTTCTCTTCCCCCTCCCCTGAAATAAAAAAATTGAGAGGACTACATTATTGCAGTTAGTCCTGACTGAAGTTTAAAATTAAAATTCTTTTATCATGAAGAACTGAAATATGTGAACATTTTGATCCCCATTGTTTGACCATGATTGAACTTACCATATTTTGTACAGTCTTTAATGTATTTATTATATCTATAGTCATAATAAAGTCAACTACCTTTAAAGTAAATGACTGAAACAGCCTCTTACACAACAGGCAATCTCCCAGATGTGTAAACATGATCTGTTTCATCAGGGTGCAGTTATAAGATCAAATAAACAAAGCCTTGCTTAATAAAAAAAATTAAAGGTGATGAGTACTATAGAGAAAAAATAGGAGGACAGAATATGTTGCTTCAATTTTAATATGAACATATGAAAAAAACAGTTTGGTTGTTTAATGAAACTAGCTAAATCAGGTCTCTTCATGTAAATTTGAAAAAAATCAATAATGACGAAGCCTGAGGTTGTTTTTAATATAATTAATTGATAAGCCTCATTGAGTCAATCTTTTTTTTGTGCTATCATCACAGAAAAGTGAAAATTTATACTGTCTATTGATGAACCAAAACTTTTAATATTACTTTCTTCTTGTTTTTGCTTCCTGCTTGTTCAAATAAAGTAACTTAAAGGAGCATTCCTGAACAGATATGTTTAATTGATATTTATTTTGTAGAAGAGATTATATTGAAATATTTCCAATATATTTTTAGCACTAAATACACTGTAATAGCCACATCTAAACTATAATGAAACACATGCATGATTTATTAGAAAATTTGCCAATCAATATTAAAATAGACTGAAAAAATATTTTTTTTATGTTCAATTTTTCTTGCTTTTCTCTAGGTTTCCAAAGCCAGCTGTGATTACATTAATGAAAAGCGAGTGATGCTGAATCTGTCCCTGGACGGTTACTATTGGAAGATTATGAAACCAGGCTATGGCTGGATAGAAACTCTGCAGTGTGTGGCGTTTCCAAAGGATGATACATTTCCTTTCCCATGATGCAGTGGATGCAAAATTGATTTATTTTAAACGAGAAATGAAACAGGAAGATTTCATCTTTTGCCTTTTTGGTTTTTTGATCTCACTCTTTGGAAATGTAATCACTTCATTTGTGAAACATTTTTTTCTTATTTTTAGCAGAGCCCTTTAAGAAAGGATTTGCATTAAGAGATATTTACGTTAAGCTTTTATAAGAATTGATTAATTTAGTAGCAGTGTGAAAAAAATGCCTCATCAAATCAAAAGCATGCATCTCCTACACAATTCAGATGCACACATTTTCAGACTGCCTCAGGCTATTTTAATTTTTTCAAGTTCTGTTGTTCTTGGTATTAGTTAGGTCTAGAGACATTTTTTAAGAAGTGTTGCACAAATTATTCTGATTATTTTTTCTTCCCTGTTATCTGTAAGTCATGACACTTCAATAGAGACTTAGTATAGAGACTTAGTCACATATTTACTTGTGAATGTTTTCTTCTTTTAAATCCTTCACTTTCCTGTTTTTTTTCTCACAGAAATAAGATACTGTGTTTATATGTGTTATTATTTACTGCATTTGCATGTTTTTTCATAGCTTGGCAATCCATGGTTTTTGAACTTCTATACTCTGCATTAAATAGCCAACAGGTTATTGTCTTGGGAAATGGAAATTGGTGATTTGGTGTCTTGTTTTGTAATAATGAATGTCATTTTTGAAAGGAAGTTGAATGAAGTAAATGTTTTAATATGCTGTCAATACATTTTGCTCCATTTATTCTATAATTCATGAGAGCCTAATGAGGTGCAAGCTAATTTTAAAACCAGATTTGGATGTAAAAGGATTCATGCTTCAGGTAGTTTAAGAACTGAAAAGGTTGGAATGTATATTCAAAATGTAAAAAAAACTAAAAAGTGTACTTATGTAACTGATCAATTGCACTGGCCTTAACCTCGATGTTTTGTGATCTGACAAGATCTTTTTTGTTAATATTTGATAGTTTCTTGTATAATATAAAGAAATATGTGCAAAGTCAAGATTCTGACCTTTGGACCTCCATGAATAACATGAAAGTAAAAATTAGAATATGATTTTATAATATTAATAGAACTGCTAGTGTTGTAATAGAACTGCTTGTATACCAGCATTCATTTTGAGCCAGAACATTCAGTTATGAATTATTATCATACTAGTATTGTAGTTACATGTAAGACAGGGTGCAAACTTACTCATCTGAGATTTCCATTCATTAGAATGGCATGCATTAAATATTTATCATAACAAATATGCCGACTTGCTCTGTATTTTTAATTTTGGAACTCTATATTCCTTGAAATTAAAAAAAAAAGTTTATAAAGTTAGATGTAGTAGTATCGTTTCACTCATTTACAGGACAAGTAGAGATTTAGCATATGTAAACCTGTGTTTAGCATGTTTTGTAATGGTGTTGTTTGTTTGTTTGTTTATTCTACTTTTCCCGTTATCCATGAAGTTCTAATATTTGCAGGAGCATACTATGGATCTGTCTTTCTGTTTCTTGGAGATCTCTAGATTTGTCTCTCTTTGGAACCGTACAAGAAATAAAAAAGATTTGATGTTTGGCTTGCTCTACTAGTAACTATTTATCCCAATCTGTTTTAAGCAATAATAATCAGATTGTAACAAGAGATGTATATTGGGAAAAAATATCTAACTAAGAATAAGTGAAATGTGAAACTGTTACCTATGAACATATGAAGGGATTGTCTTTCAGATACACATTTTGTTGACTTTAAAGCAGATATCAAGTGCTATTTTTACATATTATGCTTTTTGGAAGTCCCACGTTTTTTTTTAAATCGTTATATTTATTCTATGCAATATCTATTAATCTACCATTGTTAATAATCATATTTTATTATCTGCATGTACATGATAAAAAAGAGGAGAAATTAACGTCATCGTAATACAGTCAAAGACGTCCATTGTTATACAGAATAACTAAAACATTAGAGATTGATTACACAATTGTAAATAAAATTCATTAAACATTACTGTGTACAAACATTGACAATCATGTAACTATACACTTGTAAATAAAATGTGAAGGCACTTGGATTATTTGTTCTGTTGTTACTGTTAAATCGCTTATTTTCTTTAGGTCAAATATTTGTGGTTTGAGAAAAAAATGTAGCGTCTTAATCATACGGGTTCAGCTAGTGCTGAACAGATAGCTTAGCAGGTAGAAAACCTGTCTAGAAATTCGGATGGGGGTCAGTTACTATAACTGTGGTCAGCCTCCAAAAAGAAGGACCCTTTGTGAAACATATGGAGATAACAAACAGTATTCAAGATCAAAAGTCCATAAACTATACAAAAAAGGAGCAGAGCAAACATGGACCTCCAATTCATCATAGGTGGGATCAGGTGCCATGGAGGAGTGAGTATCCCCTGCCTACTGGTCACATCCGCAGTGTTCTCCTTGTCATGATCTGAAAGTAACAGGAAAATCCATCGTCAATTCAGTTTCTAAATGATGGACTAACAATTAGTATGAAAAACATCGGTCAGCATTTGACTCAATGATAAATTGTATTTGCTGACAAGGTCATTGTATTGGCCATAGAACTTACGAAATGATGACATTAAACGAGAGTGCCGACATTCTTGTTTCATCAACTTGTTTGTCATTAATTTACCTCATTTTAGAAATTGTTCATACATAAAGCATGCTCTTGCGTATCGAATCAATTGAGATATATAAACTCCGTATGCAGGTGATGAAGGTATATTGCTGCATAAGTAAGGGAAGAAGACGATTGTAAAGATAAAGACATCACGTTTATTACAGAACTTGGTTTTTAGATTACCATTAACGTCTTTTTTCAAGTAAAATATCCAAATATGAACAGATGTGTCAGACTCTGTGGTATCTTTTATCTTAAGCTCACTGAGATATATCGTATCGACATAAGAATGGAAATTCCCATTGTTAATTGACAATACGTCGTCGATATGCTAGTGTCTTAATGTCGAGTTGAAGGCCACAGCAAGTGTTTTCTTCCTTTCACGTATTACGATTTTGGCCAAATTCTGTTTCATATGAAAACAAAAATAGGTATTCTTAGAACGGGACACAATTAGTACCAATGGGAATTCCAAAAGATTGTTGGAAGACCTGGTCTCCAAAAACCGCATAGAGATAGTCAATCAGAAACGATCTTTTTGATGTCAACTTCAGAGTATGTCGAATCAGAATGTTTTATAATATTGTTTTGCAAATGTTTATTGACAAGGTACTAAGGACAGATGATACAAACAAGCTTTTGTCAAAAAGATTTGAAAATAACAACTTGGGTCATGTTTTAATGAGTAAAATGAATAAGTTTCACCGCGTAGTTTATGATTTTTTATTCAAAGTTTCATAAAAATGGGATTGGAAGTGAAAAATAATTATATATAGATTAATAAGAATGGTTTAGAAGGGAAGACTTTTGAACATCATATAAGCTTTACAATTTCTTTATATTCTAGAAATTTATTTTTTGCATCATTTGCAATGAAATTAGGCCAAAAAATATATACCAATCCAGGCATCCATTTTTTGTTTGTATCATCTGTCCTTAAGTAAAGGACAAGATAGGGTATTTGGCCCCAGATGTTGGGTGTCTTTTACAATGATCCAGCAGTTTATCCATAAAAACCTGTTGTCACCCCTGCCACAAAATGAGTATTGGTTCTAAGATTTAGAATATACAGAGGTCACAGAAGAGGTCAGGAAATAGGTCAATTTCCGGAAATTCTGGAAAATGTCCTACTTCTGCACCCTCTAGTCGCTTCCATGTAAGCTTTGATTCTAAATTAGTGCTTGTTTTGAAATAAGCATCATTTCAACTTCTTTACTACACATTATCATAATTTTACCACTGTTCTGATTTTTACATCAAATACTAGTAAGGGCCAGATTCGACCGTTACCCTATCTTGTCCTTTACGCGTTCCATTTTTATTGAAAAAGCAGCAGTCAATGATATTAAAAGCCTGGATTTTAATTTATCCTGGGGAATGGTTGTGTATAAAGTTGAAGAGTCGTTAAGTTTTAAAGCTGTTGATTTTGGTAAATTTTGCGATTTCAAATTGTCCAAAAGTTCCTTTGAATTTTTAAGTATCCACATTTGATTTACACCACTTCTTGAATACATTGTTGCACAAGTACTCTTGCAGTTTCTCATTCACTACTGTTAATATCTTGGTGAGGAGTAAAGAAAGGGGCTTGGTTGAGCATTTACTGGGTCTTTGTAAGGATTTTTATGTAGTTTTGGAATCCAATATAGATATGGTAGTTCAAATTCATTTTGATTCTTTGGGATCTTAAAAATATTCAAAACTGACATATGATCTTGAAGAATTTCTTCCTTCTTAGCTTCATGTACAGTGTATTTGGCAATCCATTTGTGATAGGCATCCAATACGAGGTAATCTCCCTGAGCAAACTTTTCTTACTACGACTTTGTTCTTACGATGAGACCGTGGGCGTGCTTGATTGGTAAGCTTGAATTTTTGGAATTGGCGGAATTACAATCAAGTTCGCCGGTATTCAATTCCGGCGCAGTTCTATCAATCCCGTATTGAGAGGTGGTGTGAAAGGAATTAAAGATGGCGACTACTGTGTACATTTGCTGAGAGTGCCGATTAAAACATGTATGCAGTTTTTCCCTGTATTTGGACGCTGATACATCATGTTAACGTTAATTGTTAAGTTCACCTACGAGCTGCAGACAGCAAACATCATATTCTGTTCTTTGTACAGCATTCACTCGCACTTTTATCTTCCATAAATCATTTAAAAAGAAGAAATTCTTTATTTGTTGAGCTACAGCCATATTGTGAACTAATTCCAATTCCAGTTTTACATGATTGGTAGAATTTTTGGAACTCTCGTAATTGAAATCTGACTTTACAATCATGCAAGCACACCCTGTATAAACCGAGGTCCCGTGTCGCAGTAGGTGCTGGCACGAAAAAGATCCCTTATTACTCAATGGCTGTAATTGTGTCGAGTATAAGTCAGAATTTGTAGATCTCCACTGTCAGAAGTGGGATCGGGTGCCATGGTGGAGTGAGCATCCCCTTCTGACCGGTCACACCCACCTGTCATAATCGGGAAATAACGGAAAAATCCCTTGTCAATTCAGTGTATAAATAATGGACTAACAAATAGTATGAAAAACGTCAGTCAACATTTGACTCACTTTTTATAGGAGAGGACTATCTAAGTTTTTGGAACAGTCCCCTTGACATATTGTCAATAAAATATGTTCAAAACAAACAAAACATTTTGCTATCGGTTTTATCCGTCTCCTTGTACGTCGTCTCTTATCCATTGGCATTTGAACATTTTCAGCTTTTTCTTCGGAACCACTCAAATGGTTCCAATATCGCCTTTGTATCTATAGGACTCGTTGCTATTTAACTGTATTTTAGAATAATTTTTTTAGTTCTACGTCTGGAAGTCCTAAGCATATTCACAGGTGTATAAATCAAATGTAGATTAAATAAAAAATACTTCAAAAATTTAAATCAGTAATTTTTTTCAAACGTCTATAAATTTAGAATATACGACTTTTCTACACTAAATTTACTACAATTCCTAGCGATAAATTATAAAGCAGGCTTTTTGATAACTTTTTTGATAAAGGAAACTTGGGTATTTTCACACCATATGACTACTCATCAACAAAATTACTTCAATAAAATCTTTCTGATTCTTCACACAAGTGCATGTACTAGTTCTGAAGTTGATATGAAAAGGATGCTGTAGTTCCGCATTGACAACAATTACGTAGCCTTCGAAGACCAAGTCTTCCAATAATCTGCTGGAATAGCGATGGGCACTAATTGTGCTTTTTTATTTGCCAATCCTTTTTATACTCTCTTGAAGCATACACTGAATTTTATTAAATACGTTTACATAAGAAGACATTTGACATGGGCTACAACTCGACATTCAATTGTATTGACGACATTTTATTCATGTGTCGACTCGATATATCCCAAAGAGTCTGCCACATCTGTTTCATTTTTGCATGTTTACCGACTAGATATGAAGCGACTAAATTTTATGACAAACGAGATGATTTTAGCTTTTCCATCGTCAACTTTCCTTATTTACCAGTATGTATAGTAATATTTCGCTTTGCCTGTTAACTTATTCGCTACTCAAGTGCAATCTCTGAATACGATAAATATTTAAACCAAGGAAGGCTACTCAAACATAAGTTTATGTTACAGGAATTTCATCAACGTCGTTTAAATTTAGTGTTTTATAAATTCAATGGTCATTATGATGACTTTTTTTTTTACAGCAAATATAACCTTTCACTGGGTGGTATATTTACTGACTTCTTTCATACAACTGTTCGACCTTTATTTTTGTACTGAATTTTACTACGGAATGTTTTGTCTACTTGAATAATACGAGTACATAGTCCGCGTTTGTGTCTGTTCACATATTTGTTTTGTTTGATATGTTTTAATGAGACCTATCCCTGTTCACCGTCTTCACCTTTTTTCATTTCAATCAATATTTGGTAGCTATAGGTTGGGGAACGAAAATTATTAATATATTTTATGGCTCCTGCTTCGAAGGCCAAGGTGATGATACTTAGAGCAACAAAATCAATATAATTTTTGAAAAATCTTTTTAACTGTTGGACATCAATCAGTCTAACTTTGAAATTCATGGTCCCAGTATCAAGGGTTCAGAAGTTAGCCTTGAAGTCTATAATTGATTAAATATTGGAAACGCATTGATTCATTCAAAATCGTCATCTCTCCTCCTAATATGCAAAATAAGTGACTGGATCAGCTTGGGCACATCTTCCACTGTGTTAGAGATTTTAATGTTAATGGGCGGGGCTCTATTGATATTATAATGAAAAAAACATTATTTCTGTGATAAAAAATTTCTCTTTGCTTTTTGTTTGAAGCAAACGACCTTAGTATATTGTTTTATAAGCAGCAGAGTCATTTCCAAAATCATGGTATTTATGACCCCAGGTTAGTGAGATCTGTTGTTAGAATTTGGCTTGATTGATTATAAAGTGAAAATGTCTTAAT